TTTTACATGTATTGTGCCATGCGAGCAGTTTTGAAGAGGGAAAAACCGAATTCAATGGTTATGATATCATAAACTGAATGAGAAGTCTTGATCTTTTTTTTAATGGATGCCGTTCGAGTTAAACATCTATGGTATTAAAAATTATGTGGTAGATAGATAATAATATGCACAAAGTATATCCAAAATAACCTCGTCCACCAAATGAATGCCAAATTAAATGAAAAATAAAAGACTTGTTTAATAAATTAAAATGAAACACATCCGGAATTGAATTATCTTTTGATAGTCAATATATAAAATTTATTGTTTGGTTTTCTTATGTAAAAGTACATTGGGTTAAAGTAGATCATATTTTAATAGGTATCTATTTTAATTATTGTATTGCTTACCATTAGTATTTTTATGAAAAATAATTTTCCTTCGCTTTTTTCCTAAATTAATAAATAACCGAGGCAACATTTTATTTACTACCGATTCAACGGATTGTTTTTTGTTCAATTTACTGATTTTTATTTTTCGATCATTCATATTCAAATCATAGGTGTTTCTTAACCGAATGAGCATTTAGGTTGCCTTTTTGCGAAAAACGCTTCAAGCAATAAGAACATTGGAACGGTTTTATACCGGTATGCTTGCGCATATGCGTTTTTAATAAAGCAAAATTCACAGTGATGAACTTTTTGCAAATGTGACACTCATATCGTGTTATTTTACACAATATTTCGTGTTTATCCCTTTCGGTTTGTTTGCAGTAGCCGCGGAAACAGTATGCACATCGTATTAGTATTTTTTTGTTTGCTGGTTTACACATTGGTTTTTCGCTGATGTAATCATTATATCGAATAGGTAATTTACGGATGCGCGTTGGTTTGTCCATTGATTTCACTTCTTCATCATTACGTTGGTTCGATATTTTATTTGCTATGTTGGTCTTGCTAACTTCTTTCAAATTACCATTATACTTCGATTGGGCACGGTCGAATTTGACCCACTGACCGCTGGTTGAATTCAAAATACTATTTGGTAAACTATTTTGAATAAACGGACCGTGTGTCACACTAGAAGTGGTACAATTCAACGATGATGCTATTACACTGTCATCAAAAACACTAAGATTTGGGTCTGCATCATCAATTTGAATTCCCATTCCAGAAACAAAGTGGTCTCCATCATTGGAATCAATACATCTGAAGATAGAGATAAAGAATAAATATTTTTTTCGAATTAATTAGTATGATCGAGGTCGGAAGGGAAATTTATATTCATTATATATATTTAGAAAAAATTACTGGTGATTTGGAACAGATGAATTCGTCAGATGTTCGATTTCGTTTGATTCAGCCAAATGCATCGAAGGGGATAGTGTTGATACGGGATAGTGTTGTAACGGCAGTGCCATTCCATGGGGAACTGAAGATTGAGTTGACGATACATATTGTGGATCCGTCTCAACAACAATTAGCGGAATGGCTTCTTCAATATCAGAAAAATCGGTCTTTCCAACTACATCATCATCATCGCTTGAGTCATCCACATCGATTGTTTCAATATCCTCATTCGAGTAGGTGTTGGTTTCATTTTTGGGCGGGATGTTCTTTTTTGGACGAAATAAAGAACGTACATTCTCCTTAAAGTCTTCAAGCCGCGAATCGATTTCGAATTCACTGAGCGCTTCTCTCAAGCTGTGTAAAAAAATAATATATGTAGCTGATGTGGATTCAAACGAAAATAAAAGTACACTTGGCATTATTTACACAAAAAATTGTACGTACCAATTAGTTGATGTTTCCAAAAAGAAATCTTTGAAGTTCGGAACATTCGCTTGTCCAGTGCGATTGAGCGCCAATTTTATTTCTCTCAGCGAAATACGGGCTTTTCTTTCTAGTAAAACAAAGAACTCTTTCAACTCTTGTTTCCATTCCATGTTTACAGTTTTCTAGATTGAACAACCATTCGTTTATTGGAAAAAATCTTCACATAGAGAGAGAGAAGTAAGAGTTTCTTTTACTCACATTTTTATTGGTCATCTTTTTATTTCCATTTGTCGCTTCTACATTCAAGTCAGTTTTAATGGAATCTCCGGTTTGTCTGCAATTCATTTTGTCTTCATCCGAAGTCGTTTGCATCAAATTTTGTTCTTCGAGTACAAAGCTGATTTCCATTCCATCGTGAATTGCTTTTAACCTTTAGAAAAATTAGCGAATTCATACAATGATATGACAACTCCACACAGTAAAGGCTTATATTTTCAACAAAAACAATTTTAATTTTACAAGGAGTTATACGAACCGTGCTTTCGCTGTGGTCAAAATATGTTCTTTGATGTCTGTTTGCATCGGTTGGCCATTGCGTATAAGAATTTGCTTCATTTTATTCAAAGAAACAAGTGTATAATCCTTGAATTCGCCAAACATTTTTTCCATTACATTTTCCCAATCCATATCAGTTTTACTTTTCTAGATTAATCCAATTTTGAAAAAAAAAATTGTTGTTTTTCACGCTTTCACAATTTTAAAATTTCTCAAAATCAACTATTTTATTTTCGCATTCATGAGGTATGGAATCGTGGAATATGGAATCACGTCACTTAATTTGTTGAGAAATACACGTTGTTCATTTCTTGGTATGAAGTAAGCCTCGATATAAAATGATCTGATTGAATGTCGTTGAAAGAAAACTATCTTATGTGTTTGATTGTGTGTACTGCGTTCATGTGGTCGTTAGTGCAATGCGTCGATACAAACTCAACATCGCAAGAGAAAATAAAAAAAAAAAAATCAACGATTTACATTTGTTTACATATAGAATGATTTTAAGGGCCTTAAACGTTACTGCACACGAAAACAATTAAACAACTGACAACGCTATTTTTCGGCAAGGCATATCCAACTTCAAATTATTTTGTTTGTCGTTGTTGCATGATGATGTCATTTTGGAATTCAAAGGAATGATTTTTATATGTCAAATCATATACTTGAAAGGGTATACAATATTGTACATTGCGGCGCCGCAATCATACTGAATAAGCGCTCAGCGAGTATGCTTTCCATCAATAATACAAACAAACAATGCATGCTTAGTTTAAGACTAAAGCCAAATTCAAGAGAATCACTTTCGTGCATAATTTATTCAACGCAAAAACATTTCAAAAAAATCCAATTAACCGAATTTAGATGAGATTGAAAATGGATGGCGATAGATTAACAAATGTTTGAATTGTCAATATGGAAACTCAATCCATCGGATCAAGTTTCAATTTGAAACTTTCAAATGCCATAGATTCAACGCAAACTATTGCTACCGATTCAAATTCTCGTCAATCTCGGTCAATGAACTTCAACAGTCGATAACGAAAAAAAAAAAAAAAATGTAGAATACGATTACGCAAATGGGGTTGAGAGAATATCACCTGTGAAACAAGTCATCCTGAAACAATATTGTCCTGCGATCTTCTCAAAGCACATTTTCTCGGTTCGTCGTTCAGTTAAACTGCATTTGCATCTAACAAGTGTCATTTTGAGCGACGACCAAATTCTGAACTTCTTCCATTCATATTATGAAGTATGAACTTTTAAAATGTATGTATGTGTTCAAAATGCACAAAAGATGTGACAATTTCAGCTAAGTCCAAAAACTAAAAAAAAAATATTTCCACATAGTTCCATTACATAATAATGAGACAAACAACAGAAAATCTTAATTTTCTTTCAGAATGTATTTTCGTTTAATTAATAATGAAGGATATTTTTTTACATGTATAGAATAGAAGGGATAAGTTTGAATTTTCGATGTTGAATAAAATAACAGAGAGCACTATGCTTTTGTTTTCTTCTTTTTTACTTTTGAAGTTGTTGGAGCCTGCGTCTTGAACACGGTGCTGTAAATGAGAAAGAAAAATGATTCGGGTTTTTATTGTATTCTGATGGAAGTCAGCTTGTATCAATCATATAATATACTCACTGGCATGTGGTGCAGATTGGACTGAATTTGCAGAAAACTGTTTGATTGAAAAGTGGATGTTGAAATTGTTGATCGAGAAAATTGATAGTGTGAGTCAAAGGATATTAATTGTACACTTACTTGACAAACAAACCGAACAAACGTATCCAATGTCAATGAGTTCACGATGACAAAAGCAGGCGGCTCGATAATCAACTTTTGTTGCTGGTGGAAAGACCAATTTGCTTCTGGTTGCTGGATCTGGTAAAAAAATCCACTGCAAGTAACAAAAAATTCAGTCAAAAATCAAAAAAATTCTTGCTATGCCATCTCTTGATAGCAACTATTCCTATCAGTGGTCATATCGAGCACTAAAAATAAAAACTCACCAGTAAATACTGTAGCAATCCTTCTGTTTGTGGTAATTTCAAATATTGACCCCCAGTTATATCACATCCCTGTTGTAGCAATGTCATCGATTCGTCAAGTGCACAAACATCAAGTACAACATTTTGCTTTTGTGCTGTGAAAAATACATTCATGTATGTCATATACTGTGATGCACACTCCAAACTACCGGTTAACAATAAGATGCGGGCATTTAATTTGCAGCCGGGTGGTTTTTCGCGTTGCAATCGGGCTATATAACACAGTGCCATGGCAATGCTGCCGGCAAGCATTGGTTCGGCTTTTTGTTCAATCAAATTTTGATCGATCGACTTCACCATGCTCGCCATATTCAGTTTTATTGTTTTTTCCACTTGTGTGAACTTTTCATATTGGCCATCAATCTGACGGATTTCTCTCATTTGACTATTTTGTGACGGATACAGAAATTCACTGCGAAGAAGAAAAATCATACAACACACCTCAATTTGGGAAAGAAGAAACAAAATTGCACTAGACTTACACTTTCGTTGCATCACTCGCCAGAGCAGCAATACTATTTTGAGCACGTTGCATCAAATGTGCATTGGCAAAAACACATATCGAATCCAAGCATTGTGTTAGTTGTTGTGGATTTCTTCGAACTATTCGTTGCATTGGATTCGAATCCAATATTATTACGATTAAACTACTCTCATCGTTGGTATCTACAATAGAAAGAATGAGTATTTTTTTCACATTTTACAAAGGAATCATCGTAAATTACCTTCCATTTTCGTGAGTTCTCCCAACTAATTGCAGTTCATTTGTTTACAAATTGTCGTGCAAAGCGGCAAAAAGGTATATTCTATTTGAAACGAGACCAAAGTTTCACATTGACAGAAAAATGGGTACGTTTAATGCGATTGTATGTTGAGTTTGTTATGAAATAGAAACAATCATACTGGACTCAATTCATGCGAAAAATATTTTTTATTTTGAAATTCAATTTTTAACTCATAAAAAAATCTTTTTTCAAAAATGCTGATATTTAAAAAAAAGTCATGTAAAAAATTCCGATAAAATGAATGAAAAAATAACAATGTAATGTCATTAAACCTACAAACCGTTTATATTCGACCGAAAGTGCCACCATACAATTTTGGTGAGAAACAAATTTCCACCATAGACATTACTAATAAGACAAAACCTTTGTTTAGAAAAGCCCGAGCAATGTTTTGATGAAAAAAGAGAAAATAAAATGAATATGATTTAGAAAACAAAACCAAAAGATCCGGAATAAAAGTTGTGATCGAAAAAAGAAGAAATAAAAAAAAAATTGTTTGATGAAATTATTGTTATTTGGAAAGATTGAGCCGAACAATTGAGGGAAGATATTTATTATCCGTTTTGCGACGATCATAAATCGGATTTTTAATGAATCAGTGAAATTTTATGTAACAAATTCGAATTGTACGTAATTTTGTTTGTTTGTTTGTTTTTGTACACCGAATTCAACTTCGTGAGCAGCCAAAATTGTATGCCAAATAAAAATGAATGATAATCCTGATCTTTCGATACTGAGTCAAAATGTTGACAAAAGTCAGGTAAATGAAGACGAACAATCAAATACACATGCACATTTAGAACTGAAATCCATTGTGTGTGATTTTAAGCAACATATGTTTTTATAAATCATATATTCGTTCCATTCCTTTTGGATCTCTATTATTATTTATTGTTTGTTTTCGGTTTTGAGGTTCCTCCTATCGAACAAAAGCGTCTGGTGGCATTTATCAATGAATTTATCATTTCAACCGTCACATTTCTCAACGAATTCATGACGAATGTCGAATCGAAATTCGTCGACTTCGAATTGAAAATGCAAAAGATTGAAGCCTCATTGTTAATAGTCGAAGCAAAGGTTTGAATATTGACCGCAGTGACGATTGCGTTTTCATTTTGTTTGGTCTAGTTGTAATGTCAATGTGTACATTTTAGATGGCTTCAATACCTGATGTTCAGACAAAATCATCACCACCAACGAACATTCAAAGCGAAACAATGCAAGAAACAGAGCCTCAAACCCCAACGATTGAAGCAGCACATGAACCAATACCGTCCACTGTGCAAACCACTGAAACTGAAATTGATAATAAAGCCGATGCACAAGAGACGGCTAGTGATGGTGGTGTGAAAGCCAGTGATGATACCAGATATCGAAAATACTTTAAAATGCTGCAATTCGGTGTACCAGCACCGGCTGTCAAATTAAAAATGGTCAATGAAGGATTTGATCCAAACGTTCTTGAGTATTTAATCACATTTCGTGTTGTTTTTCTAGCATTCATTTTATTTCGGTACTTTATTTCAGTGATCCAAATCGTGTTCTGGAAGATGGTATCCTCTTTGTTGTCACAGAAGAATAATGGATACTCACATCATTTCATTTCAAAATTCATTTCAAACATTTGTGATTTAATGAACACATTCCTGTTTATATTTCTTGTTTAAGTTGACATCTAATTCAAAATAAATGTTCTGAGAAAAAATGAACAATTGATATGGTTTTCTTCGAATCAATCTAAACTATCGTTTGAAAAATAATGGAATTTTTATTTTAAAAAAAGACACGTTTTCATGGAAATTACTTTCTGTTACCATTATTTTCTGTCAAAAAATCATCCAATGTCATGGAATTCTATTTCAATGCATAAAGGATAATGAATGTCCAATAATTAAGAGTTGAGCAAAAGATATTGAGTTTCATGGCAAAGAATGTCACTAGAAAATTCTCAAAACAAAGAAAAGAAATCATAAAGTTAACTGGCAAATAACCCAGTAAAGTACAATTTCAACTAAACAAATCGAAAGGAATGTGATCTCCTCGTACTCGTATATAATCATCATACCTATATGTAAAACGCAATTTTCACTGCACGAAATTCGAATAAAACACTGTTCAGTTGGAAATGAAACCACTTTGATATGTTATGAAAGATTTTTAAGTTTGCACAACTTAATTTTTTTTATTATCAGCCAAAACCATAATGATGTTTCAAAAAAAGAATGTAGTATGTGGTGGCAAAGAAATGACATGTATTGCACACCGAGAATTGATGGAAACGGCGTTTAGAATTGGATCATTTGTCCCTTGCGTTTTTTGTCACCTCCCAATTCGAAGTGCTTGCAACGCTTCAATGGTGTTTGTTTGCGGTACTTGCATTCAGTACATTCCATACGAAGCACGATTTTCTTGGTTGTCTTTGCCTGTAATAAACAACACAAAATCAATTAAAATTTGTCCGAAAAAAAAATCACGTTAAACAAATCCAAATGCGATAAATTACCTTCTTTCTGAAGATGGGTTTTGTCTGACCACCAAAACCTTGTTGTTTACGGTCGTAACGACGACGGCCCTGTGAGGCTGCACGTTCCTTCGACTTTTTGTACTGTGTCACTTTGTGCAATTTGTGGCACTTGCATTTTTTGCAAAAAGTACGACGTTGTTTTGGTACGTTCACCTAAAAAATACATGACCAAATAAATTAGTTCAATCGTTGTCAACTTTTAATTCACGTTTTTCGCACATCACATTGATTTCATAGCACGACACATTATTTATTACAACAACGTAGTGTGTACATTTCGATTGGGCGAACAATCAAAGTTGCGAGAATATTTTTTATATTTTTTGGCAAAATTCGTTGATTATTCCAAAAACGTTTGCGATAAATCAATGGATGGTGTTTTATTTTCGGTTTTTTCTCATAAATTTATTGTGGATGATCGAAAATATTGTGAATTTTTTCGAATTATTTTCGCACTTACCATTTTTTCAGGTTGTTCTGCGTTGATGAAACTAATCAAAAAGAGGCTGTCGGAAGTTGTGTGCTTGTCACTTTGCGCTGACCTGTCAAAAATACGAAGATAGCAGCGCACCAATAATGGGTACGTTCCAAGTTGCCGGCACTTTAATGTCATATTCGTTTATTTTTCGGTCGCAAACGCACTCAATCCAATGTATATGTCTGTGTTTGTGTGATGAATATGTGTGGAAAACAGCTTCGGTTCAATATGAAACAATACAAATTGATTTATTGGCTTAAACAAAAATTGCTTACATTTGGAATATATGCGTGGTGCTAAGAAATTCACCTCAAAATAAAATGTGATGCGCTATCGACTTGGAAATTTTTTCATGCTTCAACATTTGCTGAATGAATTTTATTATTTGAAACATGAACATGGAATGGCAACACACAATGAAAATTGTAAGCGCTTTATTACCGAAGCGTTTTTCATTGAACGTAACTATCATCAAATAAACATTGGAAACATTTTCTTATCGTTGCTACATACATTTATATTATATGAAGTATGTGTTCAAGAATCGTGTCATATAATGGACAGCAAAATAAACAGAAAATGTTGTCGAATCAGCCAAAATCGATCTTCAATCGAAAATGATTTTTTTTCCATAGAAAAATGTCAAAACAACGCGACAAGAACGAAATTTTTCTTTCGAAACATGTTTGCATTGTTTTGTGTGTATTTTTTGCGTTCCAAGAGTATCGAGAGGAAGAGAATGAAATGAAAGCGAGTGCAACCGATGCAAAAATAATTTGGCGCTCAAATAAAATATTCAAGCATGCTCCTCGTTTTCCAGATTTTATTGACCGCATTACAAAGATAGTATGCTCTGTGTAAGAAGGCACACAGTGCTCCGATTGTTATACGATTTGGCAAAATTAATGTTCATTTTGTTTTTTCAAACTCAATGTCTCGCTGTAACGTTGAAACTTCTCTTCTGCATCGCAAAATAAACGAATTATGACAGTGGCCGGAATGGAAAAACGTGTAAAACCGTTATAAAAATAAAAACAATGACGATTCAATGCATGTAATAATCAATTGAGTGTTCATGGTCGATTCGTTTGAAAATTGACGCGGCTGTAGATGCGCGATTGTTGCGATGAATAAACAATAAATAAATATGATGATTAATAGATTGTAATGGGGCAGTAGAGCGAACGCAATTTTTGATGTATCGAAAATAATGTTTGGTTAAATTGGTTTTAACAAAATCATAAGTTTTATCCGCCTATCGACCTCGTAAGTGGAAATAAAATAACAGCCGATTTTTTGGTCCTGAAGGAAAAACCCAACGAAAATTGGTTGATTTTTGACAAAAATTTTCTCTTCCTTCAACAACACAAGAGCTCTCTTGCTACGTTTCAGCATCCTTTTTTCCGCCACAAATACAATGCCACCAATCAATGAATGTATCTTGGCGTATGAAATCCAATGTGCATACATACGTAAAATGTGACACGAAAAGCCGCTTGGCTTTGCATGATGCCTCCATACATGCTTACCAACGCACCAATACATGCACATCCGGCACTTTTGCCGATACAACAATTCAAATGAACTCACGAAACCAACACATACAACCGCTAAATAAACTCACGAAACCCTCTTTTGATACACCGATTTAATTGAAATTTCCAACAAATTCGCAATAATTTTGTGAAATTTTCATGCAAAAATTTCGAAAATAATTTTTAGTTTCATTTGGGATTTTTTCAGCGATCAAAATCGATGCATTTGTTCATTTTTTCGACGATAAAAAAGAATGTCGTATTGGGTATCGTAAATCGAGAGATGAATACTATTCAAAATGACGCGCCATCTAGCTAGCTTATAGTCGACATTTGAAGCCAGTAGTCAGTTGTGTATCAGTTCTCAACGAGTCAACATCGTGTGGAAAAATTGTCTCTTCGTCTATTAAACGACTTAGAAAAAAAAACAATAAATTTTGTTTAAAAAAATCTTCACCAAATTTTTCCAACATAAATTACTTGTACTTTTTTGTACATCACACTCGCAAATCTCTTCAAGAGTTCAAACGAAAATCCTTGCTCGACAAGAAATACATTTTTTTTTTATTTAAGAAAAAAAAAAACACCAAACAAAAACAAAATGAGTGCAACAGAGAGCAGTGAATTCGCCGTACCAGAAGTCGTCGCCGAAAACGAAAAGGAAGAATCAAAGGAAATTAAAGCCACAAAACGGCCGGCAGATGTAAGTACCCTTTAAAAAAATTATTTTTATTTTTACTATTCCAAAATGGAACTTTCCCTCCGTATTGGCGTAGATACATTTTTCGCGCTCCAAAAGTGCTCGGTTCATGAGAATTCGAAAAATAGATAAAAAAAAGTTCGCATAGTTAAGGTTATTGTTCGATTTTCCATTTTACTCTCTATCCAATTTTTTTTTGTTTCGAACTCTCCCGCTTGCTGAGTTCGCATCACATTGCCTCAATCATGTTGTCATTCAAACATGACCCGCAAACAAATTTAGTAAAAAAAATTACTTGCAAAGATGTTGTTCGGACGCATCCTTTCGAAAGGAATAAATTCGGTCATCAGAAAAAATAGGAAATTTTTTATACATATATATATATTTTTTCATTGCATTTTCACGCATACGATAGTTAGCGTTTCATATCACAAGCGAACATACATATAGGTGTATAGTATATATGATAGGCGAAAAAAAAATTACAAAGTCTTAAGTTCGTTGTTTGTTGTTAATTATGTGATTTTTTGTTGTACTTCATACACTTGCTCTCTTTCAATCTCACTTGTTTTCTCTCATTTCGATGTATTTTTCCTTCTTTCTTATTCATATCGTTCACGCGCGCACCTAATTTTTCGTATTATTTTTTTTCTTCTTCTTCTTCGACTTCAATGTACTCTTTCATTGACGTTGTTGTCAGTGCCGCCGTCACTGCCGTCACCGCTTATGCGACCAACGTTTTCAAATGCGAACGGTTGTCGAACAGATTAAATGGCAAGCAACTAATGAATTGAAAGAAAAAAAATGTGTAAAGAATAGATTACGGTGTGTGTTATTGTTGTTGATACTACTTTTGTTGCAATTTTTTTTTCTCTGTTCATTCTCCAACGGCGTTGACGGCATTGTTCAATAAATGGCATTTACGGTTTCCCATCTCAGTCAAAATTCATAATTAAATCTAACGTGAGCACATAATTAGGTGTTTGCATTAATGAAAAATCATGAGAGAGAAAATTGAAAGAAAAAAAAAAGAAGCGAATGGTCGAAGTAACGATTGATAATTTCTTGTTCCAGTCAATGTATCATCATGTTTCAAAAATTCTATACAAAATTCAATATGACGCGCTCTCATCATATTCGTATTGATGGTGCGTGGTGTACGACTGTACGTATATATGTATGTATAACATTGGTTGTGTGCGTGTATAGTTGTATGCAGCACGAAACAACGCGCGAAACAATGGCGGCTAAAATATCACAAGCCGCTTCACTTTGGCTCTCTTCTTTCTCACTCTTTTGCCCATATTTACGTTCTCTCAACGAATACCGGAAAACTTGAATCTACGAACAAGTCTTTATTGATTTTTTTTCCTCTTGATTCGTTGAAGAAGAAAACATTTGTTTTATTTTATTGATTGGCGATAAAAATTCAAATCGTCAGTTTCGATTTGTGAAAATGCTTCGATGTTACATTTCACCTAATTTTTTACATCAACCGAATTTTATTCCATCCGACCTTGGGCCTTTTTGCCATATACATTAAGGAAGAAGAAGAGATGAGAAAGAAGAAGAAAGAAAATGACCAAGCTAACTGCTTGCAAACAAGCAATCCATCTCTCAAGAGCAAAAATCCAATATGGCGGCGTATAATTTTGAACGATAGACGTTTAAACAGCGTGCTCTCATGGCTTGTGTCAAAACGTACACACAATGTGTTTGTACATAAATTTCCCACTTCTTTCTTCTCTCTCTTTCACTCATGCTATCTTCTCGTCCGATTTTCAATGGAATTTTTTTTTTTTCAAATGCAAAAAAATATCATTGAACAAAAAAAATATATTTCCGACGCAAATTACCGTTTTCATCGTTGAAAAAAGTTTATTTTAATATTTATACACACACATATATATATAGCAACGACGCTTTAAATATAAACGTTGATTCAATGTAGTAGTAGATTGAATATTTGAATTTTTCAGTTTATTGATGATTGGCCATTTTTTCTCCATTGGATGTCGATACGATTTATTTTCTCTCTCTCTCTCTCTCATTCTTTCTCTACTTTAAAAACTAGGCGACATTATTGCCAATGAAAACAAACATATAGCAGCATATTTCAATGTGCGGATAGCAAAAAAACAGAATTATATGTATAATCGCACCAATAAAAATAGAGCAAAAGGGACGGCGCATCAAAATGAAAAGATAAAGAGATAGAGAGGGAGAGAGCGTTGTCATTGATTCACGTTTTTCTATCTTGTACGGCATGTGTGCTACTCCTGAAGGTGCTGTGCGCGTTTGCATTCTCTCATTTGCTCTCTCTTCTTCAGTGTTTGCTTATATTTTCATTTAGAGTATATTTTACTTTAATAAATTCAATCTGCTATGGATTTATGTATGTTTGTGAGTGTGTGAGTGTGTTTCTTCATATTCTGCTGTTGTTGGGTTTTATGTTTGAATTTTGTACGATCCCTTTTTTTAACTTTTTCCACGCGTCTCTCTCTTTTCTCTGCCTATCTCTCATTTAAACGGCAGCGGCAACAAAAGCAACGGCTGCCACAACCGACAAACCAACGAAAAAACACCATCGTCGACTTCATTCTCATTGAAAACTACGCCATACAGTATCTCTCTCCCGTTCGCATGTGTACCTTATTCGATGTAGATACGGGACTATGTGTCGTATTTACAGTGCTTTGTATGCTCTAAACGAAAGCAGATACTCTGGAAGTACATCAATAAAAACGGCTACACACAATGTATATATATGAGTGTACTATTATACTATGTATATACACGCTCTCTTCGTACACGCAACAACACACAGTGTGTTCTGAGCCATCAAAGTCGTACATATTACAAAAGAGCAGTGTGCGCTTTTTTCTCTACCTCTTCTTCTTCTGTTGTTGTTTCAGTGGCTGTTGCTGCTGCTATTCGCTCATATAATTCTTTTTTTCGTTTGTTCATTTTCATACACATATATTCGGGTTCAGTTCAGCGCTCAGTTCACTCATTTCGGTTTCAGTTGTAGACATTTCAGTTGTTTTGTTATTTTTGTTCGTACATTACGGCCACTCTACACACTCACTCTATGCCTCGTTTATTCACACACATACACACCGATACAGAGGGAGAGAATGTTAAAGCACGCTCAGTAATTCACATTTTCATCTTCGTTAAACTTTATATTTCGGGTTCTCTCTCTCTCCCGCTCTCTATATCTCTTTCATTCCTACTTACTAGCATATTACATTCAGATTGTAAATGATACTTTTCGTTCAAAAATCATCATCGAGTGTTTACTGTACATATTTTTTTTATTACTGGGTTTCGTAGTAACTTTATAACTGACGCTACGTGCGTACAAATAACTTTTATGTTTAAATAGACGCACACAATAAAACGGCCGTTTCTCTATTCCATAGAAATATATCCAACCCCTGTCACATACGAAAGCATGAGCTTAGTACAAAAAGATTTTGAAGAATGAACGAAACAAAAAAAAAAACTTTCCATTAATCAAATGGAATTCGCTGATTTGTGTTTTTTTCAACACATTCTTCGTCTGAATATTGTAATTTTTTCGCACATTTTTCGATTTCAATTTTTACATAAAATTTCATTCCATTCGGTTGGAATTCCGTTGATTTCAATGTGACCCACGCAAATTAGCAAAACAACAATAACGCTTTTTGAATGCTTTGCAGTGTAAATCGATGTTTAGAGTCAAGCAATATAATAAAAAGGCGCATATTTAGTATATGAATGTGGAAAGAAGAGAGAAAGACGCGCGCGTTATGTCTGCACAAAATTGTATTGCAGAACGAACGTTTCCCCCGATGCAAGTCCATATGAAGCAATCGGTTACAACATACACTAAGAACGAACATTGAAACAGAATAAAAATGATGTAAAAGAAAGAAAGAAGAAAAATTGCAAAAAACTGCTTGCATTGAATTTCAGTAAGCTGAAGAAGAAGAAGAAGAAGTGAAGGAGCACACGCATCCATCGATATGTTCTTTTGGCATCGGTACGGTGTGTGTTTGTTCATCGCACTTCTTGGCCCGGTCTCAATCATACACAATGTAGAGAGAGAGGCGCATACAAATCCATTGCATGAGTTCATCCGTTCATTTGGATGGAATGGTTTTTGTATGTGCGTAAATGCGTGGTATGAGCACTCACACACTCACACACACACAAATACACTGATGCCTTTGCAGGCCAAGAAGGTATGACAAAGATAGAGCCCGAATTAAAGTACATGTCATTGTGAATATACTCCGATACTCAAGCGTGCAAACAACGACTTCATAGGCTCAAATGTGTGTATGCGTGTGTCTCTATCTCTCTATCTTGCTGTATATTTTAGGTGAAAAATTCTAAGCGAGAAAATGGGCTGAAGCCCGCTTCTTTTACTCATCTTTTTTCATACAAACGAATACGATGAAATGTTAGCATAAATTTCGCCCGTTCGCTGATACGTGTACAGTCAGTAAAATTGTCATTCTCCCATCTATATAAAATAGATCTTAATTTAAATTCTTATTGCTGTCCATTTTCCCTCATGTTCTTTTTGCGTTGTGTTCTTGGTTGTTCGTTATTTTGTTGTTGTTGTTGTTGTTCTCTGCTTTCATTTGAAAAAGGCCACACTATTGATGCGTCTAAAGTAACCGAACCGAACCAAACGACGCAAACGTATTTATTATCAAGCCAATGGCCGCAACGCGTAATACACTTTAAATCTATTTTAGTTGTTTGCTGTTTTCTCTTCTCTTCAACGTGTTTGCCTTTAAAAATGAGTCCGGATATGATATAGAAATTTTAACGCCAATGGTACCCGTCATAAAATCATAAACACTTGATATTCTACAAAACCGTCGTGGTCGTCGTTGTATCTCTTTTTTTCTCTCCTCTTTTCCTTCTCAAGCAAAAGAATTATATCGAAGAGCCATACATTGTTGGCAAAACTCACACCTCGTGCGAAGGTGAAAACAAAACAAAATTGAAAACAGAAAAAACGAACAAACGAAGGAATCTGGTTAAAACGCGAAAACTTATCATATTTATTGTAGATAGATCGCACACATATATGATGATCTTTACCGCGTGCTTGTCTTTAGTACAGTTGCCGGTGAATATAAGTAAAGTTTTCTGAATATATATATAATGTGAAGAAACACAACCGAATCGCATGTGTCCATCAAAAATTTGACCATCAAATTGCATTTTACGCCTCATTTCTATTTGTGTATACCAAAAACTGAATAAAAAAATGGTAATTTTGTCTACAAATTCTAAAGAAACTGACAAATTGAAATCGAAAAACTACGAATGAAAAAAAAAATGAATAAAAATTATGAACAAAACACGAATGCCTCGTAAAGTAATCCAAAAAATGCTTTCATTCGAAGCAAACAGAAACGAAAATTGTAGTCATTAGCACGCAAAATTCTCGTCATTACACGTTGGAATTGAGCTGATTAAATGTCTTAACTGTAGCTCATCGACAACGACAACAACGTTCGGGTGTCTGTTTCTCGTGCACATTTCTTATATTTAAAAAAAAAATCACTCACATTGTCGTCGTCAGAATTGGAATCAAGCAAGTCGCGCGCATTATACAAGTGTGTGACCACATGGCGATTGCCCGCTGCTAATAAAAATGCAAACACATTTTTACACAGTGCACTTTTCAGAGTCATTGAAATTGTTACTGTTGTTTTCGTTGAGCATTTTCATTTTCTTCATTTAAAATAGAATTCGGTCGCCTTTTAATCCGTCTTCATTTTCATATTCTCGATTTGATTTTTTTTATCGTTATCTATTCGTTTGGCAGCAATAAAAACAGCATCGATTATTTGGACGATTCTCCCGTTTCAACTCTGCAATGAAAGCCATTCCATGTGAATTAAGTGATTTCAAACCAAAAAAAAAAAAAAAAACAGAGATTATTTCGGTGTACATATTTTTGTGCTCCATTTCCAAAATAAATCATCAACGCTCGTGTATATGATTGCTTTCTACTTGAGCAACGCAAAGCTTCACAGTTATTTCAGACCTTCTCGCATTATATCATTGAGTCTATATATACATATACATATATGCAATAGTGGAGAAGAGAGAAAAAGACGAAAAACACACAACAATCATCAGATAACAATGAACAAACAAACACAATCTAGTAGTCTAATATAGTCTAAAACATATCAGGGCATAGCAAAAGCTTAGCTCATTTCAAACTGCACAATGCAAAATATTAAAGAGTCAAAGCGCGCGGTTCTCGAACCATAGATATATAAAACGAATATGATGTAAATGAAATTGGATTGTTTTCGTGCGTGTATTGTATGGAGTGAATAAGAAAAAGAATATAATTCTGTTTTGTTTCGCTACAAATTTCGAAGTAGAAAAAAAATAGCCAAGCCAAACATCATCACATACCGCAATCTGAAATTCTAGCAAAAGCGAAAAAAAAACCACACATACAAAATAAAAACGTCAATTGAATGTATTACTCTGTATGTGTGGTTCTTTTTCTCTCTCTCACGATACGATATAAGTACGCATATATAGCAAGCGCACGCATACATGCTCGACATACACAAGCCCGAATGTGAGCGAATGTGTTGTTGTGCGCTGAAGTGCTGAGTTAGCGGTCGAATTTGAAACAAGCATGTTCACATCGAATCCACACATGCGGCATTTTGAGCATAACGACAAAGAGAGAGAGAGAACGTGTGTTTTATAGAATGAATTTGGTTGGTTAGCCGATACCGCGTTATTGACTGTACTCATGTTGAAATTCATCCGCTTGGCGTCGCGCGAACACATGCTCTCTGTACAATTGCTTTATAACGACTTTTCTCTCTCTCTCTCGGCATATATCCCAACAATTTTCATTTCCTCTTCTGTTTGTTGGTTACCTCGCTTGTATACCATGTTTGCCTGTTCCCTCTCTTTTAACAAATGCCAAATAGGGTTTGATTTTCAAACTTATTCCTTTTCACCGAAAGGGATTTTTTTATTATTCCATTTTAATTTCGTTTTCTCGAATTGAGAGATTATTGAATAAAGAGGAATCGTTTTGAAATGTAAAAAATGTATGATTGAATGTGTGAACGGAAATTAGGTGAATGAAAACAAAATAATTGGACTCATGCGCGCTGTTCATTTACGCTCATATATGAATGTTCCAATTTTAAATCAATTTTTCTCTCTTGCAATTCAATTGAGAGAAAAGTAAATGTGTGGAAATCCCTATTCAGTAGGTCAAATTCAATAGCAGTAATGGCTGAATAAACGGGGCGATAAAAGATTAACACTACACAAAACACAAATTGTAATTACAGGGCATCCAATTTAATTCCGTGTACTTCACACGATTTTTACACGTTGCAATCGATTTTTTTACGAAAATATTATTATCGGCATGTAAAAGCTCAATCAAATATTTGTAGTATGTGTGTATGTGTGAGCGTGTCTATATTGTCCATGTATAATAATGCTTCTGTGGAAAAACCATCGATTGCACATCGAACTATACAATGACTCTATTTATATGATAGCAACATGTACAAGTTCCATAAGTATAATCCTGTATCAATTTTCAAACTAAAACATTTGACGACTCATTTCATTTAACTCACATTTCATTGTGACATTTACGGGCTGTTGAAAATAGACACATAGAAAGAGTGAGAGGGGTAAAGAGTAAGGCAACACCAAGGATCCAGGTGCTATTCAATTTCGTTTAAAATGCTTTGTTTATTCAAACCACCAATAATAATCATAATAAGCGATTGCATTTCATCAAACTAATCGCATGATTGTGAAGATAATATGAACAGAACGATTTGCCCCACAAAATGATATCATTTCTGATAAAAGCCGAAGTAAACATTAGAATATTTACCAAATGGATAAATCGAAAATAACATGCGAACTTTTTTGATTATATTTGAATGAATTGATCAATACCATTTGCTAATAAATGTTCTTTTTTTTCTTCTAAAAAACAGGAAAAACCAACAGAAGCCAAGAAGGCAAAGAAAGACGAAAATGGTACTGCCCCCGAAGCCGAAGATGCTGGTGATGAGGAAGCCGACGATGAAGAAATTGAAGGTGAAGATGAGGAGTACGGAGATGAAGGAGGTAAGCATCGTGTTTTACTACTAACACCAAATAATATTCCATGTCTCCTCTTTTTGTTTACAAAGTTTCTAACCCATGTGTATTCTTTTTATTCTTTTCAAACAGACATTCCGTATGGTGAAGAAGATGACCTCGAAGGTGAAGATGATGAGGATGACTTGGAAGGAGGTTAGTATTTGCTTACATGCAAAAATTGCCGCTCTTTTTTAAAAACCAATTTGAGTAGTGGCTGCGGTCACCTTTTTTAAATATATTATACTAATACACCCGTTTTTTCTCTCTTCTTTAATTTGCAGAAGGTGAAGATGGTGACGATGACGATGAAGATGCGTGAAGAGATTCATGAACAGCGTAATTATAATTCTTGAATAAGCTACACACACAAAAAAAAGTTTTAAAAAATCCAACAAAAAAAAATGAAGAAGAAGAACAACAAACCACAACAAAACACATAACCAACATTTTTTTTTTGTTAAATTAAATAAATGAGAACTAAAAGTAAAAAAATGGGAAAAGAGTAAAAAAATTTAAATAATGAGAGTAAAATTAATTAAATAAAATACTTACACATGATGAAGTAATGAACGACAAATTATACAAATTTAATGCCCATCATCCGATTTTATTAAGAAACTTTCATCAATCCCATAACAAAAAAAAAACACACAAACAAATCCAAATAATTGTATGTACGAATTAATAGCTATTTGATTGTATTCAAACATATTTCAAGCAAGCATGCAAAATCTATACAAGAAAATTCAATGTTAACCCAAACCATCAATAGAGAATGAAAAAAAAAATACAAAACGAAAGAAATAAAACTTGATTTAGAATTTGCAGTGACTGACCGAGAAAAAAACACAAAGAAAATTATGGATAAAAATATTATACAGATAACAAACAGTAAATAAAATGAAATGAAAAAAACAAAAAAAAAACACACACACCGATTTTGAACATTTCTTCTACTTCTTCTTTTTTTGGTGCATTTATACAAAATATAAAGTTTTACTTGGGAAATTTTACGGTGCGCATGACCAAATGTCCAAATGTTGTACGTTCAAGTCAAAATTTCGTAATCATAACAGAAAGAAAATAATTCAACGCCAATGCATTTTTATGGACAGTATGATTATTTTCTACAGATCGATTTCATTCCATGAAAAGTACTTTTGGCGATGAAAATCTATGTTATTTTTATGAAAATATGAATAGCAGTCTTTTTGGGCATCGATTTACTTCTCATTTTATTTATCATTTTTCGAGTATATATAGATTTGTCTAAGTGAATGCCCGTGTCGCTAACTCATTTTCTCCCACAAAATGTATTGTTTCGTCTTAAAGGCATCATACATCAAAACCAATATCATTCACTTAGTCCAAAACAAAATGCAACTAGTGTTTGAAAAGTCGGTTTAGAAAAATGGTCGATTTTAAAACGAGTATAGTTTCACTGCACATGCCATTTGCAGCAGATATATATTGTAGAATGTGTTTTTTTTTTGTATAAACTAGTGTCAATTATATTATAATAAATTTGAAAAAAAAAACACATAATTTATTAGAATGTATTGATGATGAATTTGATCGAATGCGAGTATGACATTGATTTTTTTTTTCGTTTTTGGCGAATTCTCTCCCGTGAATATGCGAGATAAACAAAATTATGTTTTAATTCATTTTTCTTATGTTTTAGTTCATCATTTTTTGTCCTTATTTTTTAGAAATGGATAATTTTACTTTTTATATTATGTAAATTGAAATAAACAAAAATTGTCAAAATATTTCATTTTTTTAGTTCGATTTAAATTTCATTCTTTCAATGGACTTTTTTTGAGTTTTTGATTTTTGCATAGAATTTTTTTCACCAAAATTATTTTCCATTCTGGCATGAATTATTTCGACGAACTCTTGAGATGGGAATTTTGGTGCATTTTTCAGTCCCAAATTATCAAACATAAATTGTCCATAAATTCACTCTATGTTTTGAACAGCAACAACAGTGGTTTATAGCATAGGTAAAGCCGATATATTTTGTATGGACTTTTCATCACTCTCTCTCTTTCTCTTATTCGCTCTCCCTTCCGCATTCAATTGATTTGCCGGCTTAAAGTTAACAGTGCGTTAATTGTCCGTATTTCTCTGTATTTTCGTGCAGATGTTTCAATGAACTGCACACTAAATAAATGCATTGTCGCTTTGTATTTTTTTATTCAGTGGAAGTTACATAAGCCTTATAAAAATGAACATAAACATGCACCGGGCAATTCACAAAAGTAAGCACAAGCCATGAGTTCCAATAATCAGTTACCCGATTCGCTCGTAAAACATATTCAATTAGGGGATGATTTGAAAAGAGAGAAATAGAAGAAACTATCTGTGGCATAAATCGTAATGGTAAGCACTCTGAAATAGCAATCACTATTTTGATTGCATGAAATTGGTTTTTAGCTGTAGCTTGAACACTGCATTGATCGAATCATCAACGCTTGCGTCTTAGTACTCGGTATTTATCAATGCTGCATAAACTATGCACAGTTCGGTCGTATTGAGAATGCTATGAACGTGTGTATATTCGATAAACAGAACGTATCTCTTTGTAAACGCCAGAGCGTAGTGTCAATACACACAAAGCAGGTATACGAAAAAAAATTATCCCATAGATAAGCATGTCGAACAATTTTTCAAATGGTATATATAACTGGGGTAATATACACACGAAAAGGGAAGGGAAAGTAGGAATAAAAAGACTTTGGACTTTGTATGGTTGTTTGTATATACAACAAGCGTTTTAGTCGATTTTTATCCCATCTGTTATGGATTGAGAGCATACAAATGTATTGCATATCGTAAATCGGTGAACTATGCTCAGAACATGAGAGAAGCGTCACTTTCCTATGAATTCCGTGTATTTCGAGCACTCAAAATGATGCTATGGTAAGAGATTCTATACAGAGCATTGTATATGCGATTCAATCTCGCAGTATAAAAATATAGCATCAACATATAAAAGAGGGGATGGAAAGAAATTGATTTACAGCAGCTGCGCAAAATACAAAAATTCAATTTATTTGAACAGACAAAACGCAATTCAGTTGTCGTTATGTGCTGCTATAGTTCGGTCATATTCACGTAAGATCCAGAAACAATTTTGCAGAAATTTTAAAATTGAGATCAACGAAATCATACAGCAGAATGTGAGTTGTTTTTTTTTTTTTCATTTTTTTACCAAATTTGTAGAGAATACAAAAATATTCGATAGTGTAAAATATGTGAATATTTTTACAGTGCTCAAAAATGACCGACCCAAGTAGCCATCGTCTATGTCATCATACACACATTTGTCTGGGAATTTTTGGAAGCACAATAAAAAAGCAAGACATTTTGGAGTAGACGGACGAAAAAACATAACGGACAACTCAATTATACAGAATATATTGCATACAAAGATTAAAATGTGAGCCAGATTTTAAATATTTGCCTATTAACGCATTATATTCTGTATAATTATTTTTCGATGCATTCATTTTTCTTGAATGACCGAAATATTCAAAAAAAATTGTAAGAGGAACAACAAAGCACAAGGGAAAAGAAGCATAAAGGCATAAACAAAACACTCGCAATGAAAGCAAGCGTCGACAAACGTCGGCGCCGCTCTTTGCACAGTGGTTTTCGATTAACATTTTTTTGCCTCACGTATTCCATAGCATACAATCAATTTATCACGAGAAGCATTTATTCTCGGGATAAATCGATTGTATACCATGCAATGCGATTAGCGAAAAAATCGTCAACTGAATCTACACAAAATATGTGAACTGTGACGAAACGGAAATGAATTCAATTGGGAATCCATTTTGAACGCTTCTCTATCAGTTGACACATTATGTTTTGATTTTTTATTCGAAAATTATTGGGCGCCATTAATATGGCTCACAATTTCAGCTCAAGCACTAAACTGAAATTGTGGGCCAAATTAATGAACTGATGCCCTTCCAAAAAAAGTGGCGTGACCAATATTTGGCCACTAATGATGAACTAATGAACCTAAAGGCACTTATAAGGCTTAAAATTTTTAAGGCACTTATTAAGGCACTTGTTGAGGCACTCGTTCAGTTGAATTCCAATATTTCCAGCGTGCATATAACAATATTCCGCATACGTTGCGCCAGTGAATTATATGCAGCGCACAAAGCAAATAAATCACAAATCGAACGCTACTGTTCGTATCGAATAAATGCATTGTCTTTTATTTTTATCTTAAGTTAATTACTTTATTTCATACATCCAAAAAGGCCAGAGAAAAATATTTTTTTTTTTTTTTGACATGGTAAGTATCGAACTTGAATCATCTCTTGCTATTTAAATTCGATATGGAATTTGTTTGGAAAAAAGTGAATTACGTAAGTATTTAATTAGAGCAAAGGTAAGAAATACTATCTCTTTCGAACTGCAAAGACTAGAGTCAACACTTTCACCATTTGAAATGAATCCATATTCCCGACATTTTGAATTCGAAAAACAGAATATAACCTCAGATTTTTCAAATGGATTATGGATTTTTCAAAATGGAAGTCGCATTTTCCAAGAATTTCATTTTCCAAGCGAAAAAAAACATGCATTCAAAACGGCAAAAAATCGCATTCACTATTGCATTGAAATTTATTGAATCTTGTTTTATTTTGCTTATTTGTAAATGCGCATATTTCCGCATGTGTAAACGGGTTCCATCTGTGTGTATGTATAAACCCAGAATTGGAAAAACATGGAAAATATTCCAACATGTATTGGAAAACAAGCGCATTTCAATAGCGTATGGACAAAGTAAGGCATACGAAACGAAGCGAATGTGTATACAGTGGGGTGTTACATGCACACACACTGGAATGGAAGAGAATATTGAGAATGAAATCAACATCGTATAGCTGTTGGCTTTCATTTTATCCACATTTCATTTGAAATGAATTTTATCCATCTGTTCGGTCGATTTAAATTGAACTCGCAACAAATGCATGCCGTATATACAGAGAGGGAGAAATGTGAGTCGCTATGAGAGATACGAAGGATAAGTATTTAAATCGAGAATGAGTTCATACTTTATCATATGGAAATTATTCGCATTCAAATGGAAAAAAGTTCATACTGCTTTAAAACATACAATAACGCTGAAACATAAATGCGTTCATATCTGAAAAAAAAAATTCATTGCATACATTTGATATTGCCGTAAGAATACAAGATGCCACGTATACATTTTTTCTATCTGAAAAAGAGAATGGCGTACGCATAACATGTAACGAAAATTGTGCGTACCTCTTTGAAACATACGCAATATAGTAGAGCATTGAACGTTGGAAAATTCATATGGTATTTAAATGGAGTACATTCGTACTTTATTCACCAATGGCATATACCTAGCCGTTTCACACAAATGCTCCTTATTTCAGTTCGCATTCATATTTTCCACTTTCTCGTCGCAGTTTATGAGCCCATTCAAATCTATCGCTACTTTGTTCTGTCACACATTGTGTGGGCAATTTTTAATTTGAAGTTTCCCTTGCGAAAAAATCATCCCATTTAAAAAAAATCGAATACACACACCACAGCAATCCAATACGGAAGAATCAAGAATGTGCAAACGATCGTTTCATTTTGGATATTTTATATTTTCGAAAAAAAAAATGTGCGCGTCAAATACAAAAAAAAAATGCGTCCAAGAGAAAAAATCCTAAAAATTTTGCATTTTTAGGAATCCAAAGCGTACATATTAATTAGAGCTCAGCCAGGAGTTCAGAAATGGTTGGTGAGTGTGAGTGCGTGTACATACAAACCACAATATGAGATCACTCGAAAAGACACAACCGAAACAGCGTATATAAAGTCGAGAATACTTACGTTTTCTTTTCGGCGTTACATTCGTATTTATCCCATTTATACACGCAAACATACACGAAAAATCCTCTGTATCACATTCAAATGTATGTCTACTGTGTGAGTATATGTAGTTTTGTTGTCGAGTGGTATTTCCTTTTAGTTTTTACTACTATCTCACGAGCGTTATGTGTGAGGAGAGAGAGAGTGTGTTTCACATACTTACATTCGTGTCGCTTTTGTATGGCATATGAACAAAGATGTGAGGGTTCTATCGCTGATGCATTATGGAGTGGTAGTCTCTTTGCCATTCGCTAAAGAACTATTTGTATCGTTCGGATATGTTAGTTTTATGGATTGGACGCATACACAAAAAAAAAACGATTGAAGTAGAGAAAGAGAGTCGACTCAGTGGAATGAAACTAATGCAATCATTGAATGAAGCATTGGCTGACAGCAACGAAAACATCAGTAACATACGTCGATTTTATTCTATACTGTGTGCATTGAGATATGGCATAGAGTGAAAGTATACGCGATTGTGTACATTTTTTCTCCTTGTGACGTCAATGCCGTCGTGACTCAGTCGCAACAACGAAATGTTATCAATGTGAACGTATCAGGCGCACATAAGTTCGACGGTCTTACCTCGATTGTCGAAAAAAAAAAACCACTGAATTTTGGGTTCATTTTTCTTTCATATGCTTTCTCATGTATGGTGCGTTTGAGATATAGCAGCCTGCATTGTGTGTATCATCTCTCGCATGGTATGAGTTTGTATGTGTGGGCCAAAATGTTGTGTATACGAGCTACACCACATTTACCTTTTTAGGTTCTTCGTTCTTGTAATGAAATGCTCGGCTCTATGAAAGATGTACACCGAAAAAACAATATTTGTTAAAAAAAACAACAACAAATTTCTTCTCTTCTCTCTTACCTTTTGTTACCTTTTGCTCTCTCTCTTGTCATAGCTTTTAGCGTCTTTTCTTCGTCAGTTGTGTTTACTTCCTTTGTTCAATGCCTTCTCAGAATGAAGCTTACCTACTAATGCATTTTCGAATGCCAAGTTATTTGATTTTATGATCAGAAACAATGCAATTTGCTGAATATTGTTTGTGTTAGCAGAAAAAACAGCCGGTTGTAAATGCAAATTTCTATATTATGATGTAGACAGGCTGTAGTAAACAATTGTTTTTGAAACGATCAATTTTTATGAAGCCAGAAATTAGGCTGTCACTTTGTTTTCCTCATACATTCAGTCATAAAAACGTATTTATTGTAAATATGTATACAAAGAAAAAAAACTGAATTTTGTTTAACTTATTTAAATATACAAAATACGGAATGTGTAGAATATGGCATTTGGCACACACACATAGATTTGCTGTATAAATTCCTTTTTGAGTTCGACTCTAGACTGTTTCAAACATACAATTTGTTTTTAAAGCTACACAGATAACAGAATATTTCTCTAGAAATTTTTAAGGCACATGTGAATACCTTGAGTTCCTTCGTTTTTTTTTTTTTTCTTTTCGAACCGAAAATTTCAAGTCTATAAAAATTTAGACGGAATAAAATATATTGTCGGCGTTTAACATTATAAATAGATCCTGTACTGCGTATTTCTCTTGAAATAGCCTCTATTTATCGTTGAATTGATGATTCTAATGATTGATCGTAATGGAATTTTGTTCGTTATATTCAAAATCAGCGTCTGGAATGGCCAATGGTGCTGTTGGTAGTTGATGTTTGAAACCGAACTTACCAATCATATGTTTTCCGTTCATCAATGGTGACTGTTCAGCTTCAATGATGTTTTTCTTAAGTATTTCATTTGGAATGCCATTTTTCTGGCCTAATTCGTCTTTGTGCAATGTCGATTTGAGGCCTGATTCACGTATTTTCTGACACATGACGAATACCAATAGAATAAATCCGAGTGTGATGAAAACACCGATGCAAATAAATCCAATAAATGGTGTTGATGCAGCAATCGTTAGCTCATCGATCATTTCACTGGGAATGCGTACTTTTTGTTCGAACCACAGAGCCGGGAAGAATAGAGTGGGTGCCTCTTGGAATAGAGCAATATTTGGTGATGGTTGTACCATAACATTGACTTGTAAACGGGCAGCCACCTCGACGGGAACGCCAGTGTCTGGTTCCATTGTAATGTGGAACTCATGTTTGCTCTGATTTGGCTCAAGACCGTCGATAAATTGCAAATAATATGGATCTGCTGCATAAAAGTGCGGAAAGGATATGAACACAGGTGCTCCATACCGACATGCTGACACATTCATTACACCCGATGGCAGACTTTCATGAGGTGAAAAACATGCATATTCACTGTACTTTGTGCCATTGTCAACAGACCTTTCAGTGGCCGCGTACCTATACACATTTAGTCCATTTATCACTTCTTCGGACGTGTAATATAAATCGAGATAACGGCATAGTTCACCATTGAAAAATGTGAGTGGCCGTTCTTTTGTTTGACCCGGTGCATAAAACTCGCCACCGCTACCTCGAACCTCGTTGCATGGACTGTCATAATATGGTGTTTCTGGTTGATAGTTCCACGTTTTGGATTTACCCAATTCAGAAATATCACCTTGTCCAGTGTGTATATTAAAATGACCCGCCAAGTCTTCGCTCTCATTTCTCTGTAAATTGAATAATTCAATTAGAACATCAAACATAGAATATATCTATTAGAGTGATTGAAAATAATCGATTGTATATGCTAGAAACTTACGCGATACATCCATCCAAATTTATCATATGGAATGTTTAATTTGAATGCGCCTAATTTTGACATCTCATTGGCCATGTCAATTAAATCCTCCTCGTATCCATCGAACAGTAGCTCGCGTGCCATTTTCGTTACAAACGTATGTTGATTGTACAATGTCAGTCCCATGCTAACTTGTTTTTGCATCACGTAGCCCCAGTTTCGTGCGGTGTGCGCTGCTGACTATAAACCAAATAATAAAGCAAATTAATTTAATATGACTGGTGTATTTATAAGATTTTCGTTCATACCACAGCCACAGCATTTATTGTTACGATTTTATCATCGAGACGACCAACGCTCTCCTCTTCCACGAAGTAGTATGTACTTTTGCGTCGATAACTGATCGTTGAATTGTTTTCATGCCATTTTACTCTGGTCTTCAATGATTTTTCTCGAAAACGATACGGTCCAATCTCCTCAAGTATCGGCTTTTCATAATCGTCTGCTGTTAGATTACATGGATTCGTCCAATTAAACAAGTAGATATCGAAATTCAGCTGTAATGGTGGATTTCGCCATAATTCATAGCTTTTTGTTTTTGGTCCTAATGCTAATTCCTGTTTCAAGAAAAAACATTGCGAAAAGTATTAAGTATTCAATATTTGTTCAAAATAAATTACTTTTGCCAGCATACTGGTAAAGAAATCCATCCAAAATATTGCGCAGATAGTACCCAAACTGATGAACCCAATACCAATGCATGTGAGCATACAGTTTCGATTGACGAAATGCATTTTGTTATCGGTTAAATGTCTGGATTATCTGTAAATTGAGAACGAAAAAACCCATTGAATAGATTGTCGATAAATTGTTTGAGTATTTATTAATTCGAATGATCAGCAACTGACTGTTCAATTAGCGATGTGAAATTGATTTATTCAAAAACCAGCATGTGTCACAGGGAATAGACAAAACTCTATCAGAGAGGAATTGAGGAATTAGTTCAGCGCAACAAAAATTCTTTTTTGCTTAATGTGTATGGTTTTTCGTCAACAAATTCGATTTAAAATGATTGACTGAAATTCATTTGTTGTAATAAAGCGCAATTAACCTGCATGAACTTTTCATGTTCACATCTGTACTGCGATGCCACATTGTGTATTTTTGCTTCATTAATTTATGCGTATTTCATTTTTACATATTAAAAAAATATACAAAAAGCCATTTGTTGCCTTTTTCGCATTACTACTGCGATCGTCGTCATCGTCATTTAATTCAATTTAGAGTTGCGTGTGTGAATAATATCTTTTATTTCGTTTTGAAATAGCCAATTCTAGAGCACGGCAGGTCCGATTCTGGAGCACAACAACTCCAAAATCCTTTGTACGTTTTTAATGAATCTTGTAAATTTTTCAATGAGAATCACTTCCTTTTTCGTTTTTTTTTTTTCATTAAAGTTTAACTTTCGTGTACAAACGATAAAGTTAAGAAAATTTTTGGAAACAGGTTTAAATGTCGTCGTTCACACATAACCGCCGACCAATATTATTTTTGTGCAAACCGCAAGTCATTTAAATTTGTTTGCAAATTCACACAAAATAAATCATGGTCGGTCTGGAATACGGCAGTTGGATAGCTTGGTGGCGAATTCCTTGAACTTAGGAAAGGTCAAATTATTTATAGGTCACGTAGTTTCAAATGCAGAAGAATAAACATGCAGAATTTCGCCACAAAAAATGTTGTCCTCAACGCGGTTAACTGACTTTGACTCTTGTCTTTTACACCCGAATCATATTGATCATATCAACTAACGATTAAATCGAGAATCATATGCAAAACTAAGCGATTCTATCCAGTTATTTTTGCAGATATGCAAATAAATTTCTTTTAATATCGACCGACGAGTGTAAAGTGTGTCCGTTCACTGGATTTTCCAATAGTAAATTCTAATGGGCCATTTGGACTTATAAAATTCAGTTACGGAACCACTATGTTCTTTTAGTATTAGTTCGAAAAAACCCATGCAAAAATACCGAGCGACGCAGCAACGGAAGAGCAAAAAAGAACATCGAATGCATAAATTACAAAAAGAATAAAGGAATTGATTTTATATTTTTGTTTGGACACGACAAAAGTGTCAATAAGAACGACGAACCGTTTTCACCTGAACCGGTTTACTGTCATAACATCAAATAAGTTCAGATAAAGACGAAACATCATTACTGAATGTCGCAGACTTTTTTTATGATTAAATAGTGGTTAATTGCAATGTACGTCATATTTGGTGTTTTTTCTTTCTCAGTTGTCTAATCGCGGATTTCGTTAATTACACACAAAAATAAACTTCAATACATGCTTTCAAAATACAATATCAATGCACATTAACTAGAGTTGTGATGCAATACACTTCGGATTTCCTGAAAGCGTCATTGCTAATGAATACATTGTATTGTGAGGTAATGATACTAAATTTGATTTTTATGAATGAGTGCTTTGATTTGGCGATAGCAAATCAACAATTTTGGGTCAGGCCAAGTTTATGAGATAGAGTTCTAGGGGGTAGACACAAACTCGAAAAATAGAAAGCCTCATAATTTCAAAAACGAATATGAATAATGATAACCGATCAGTTGAAAGTGTTGAATGCGATAGTCATGTTTACTTACTTACGATTTCCAATTGTGTTTTAGGCTTTCGTTATCGTCAGCGTCGCTCCAAATCAAATACAACTGACTAAATTCAACCAAGTCAAATCAGACTGATGTTGCTTCCTCTACGCGAATGTATTTTCCTGATAACAGATAATGAGCATTCAATCGTTTGCTGCAAAGAAAAAAAAAAAACAAATATTAGTCTATATAATAATTTATATGATATCACACACGATCAACAACAGAGTGCATCGCTGACTAAATCTAAATATTTGACAAATGCAGTTGAAGAGCAGACGTGTCCAGTAGAATATAATAGAATGCTGACGAGTTTACTATGTGTCAATTTGTTTGCGAATTTAATTGTTGAATAATTAAACAGAATTGAGGATTTATGCCAAATCTTTTTTCAAAAGAGTCGCTTCACATTCAGCGACCATTTCAAGCGCAACAAATCGAATCGCGATAATTTATTTATTTTTAGTTGACAAGCTTAAATCAATATTTACTTATCAAGTTTCATATTATTTTTTTCATGTCAATTAATCGTATGATAGACCTCTTGATCGATAAAGAATACCTATGGCGCGTCATTTTGTTACAATAACTTTCCTTTTTTTGCTAAAAAAACAGTCAACCATTTTGAACACAAATAATTTCATATTCCAATAAAAAATACTTCACTGCACACAGTGGGTGTGCGGAAAAGTAAAAATCACTTGGATTTTCGAGGAAATTGATCTAATTGATGGGTTTAAGATTTTTGCTATAAAAATGACATCTTTACAAATAAAGAATTTACCTTGCTTGTTGTGTATCTTCGTTGAAAATAATCTCTGATTGAAAGATTATCAAAATGTTCAAATTTGATTCGGTGCGTCGATTAACGAATAACGAAAATTTAACCGATCACGTTTTCTAACCCACAAAAATTGCACGTGTGATTCTGCATTGATCAATCGTTTTGAATTCGTACGTCTTAAATATTGTTGTAGAAAAGCACTTGACACACTATATGCACAAACAAACTATTTAGCAAAAAACGGGCAATGACTTTCAATTATTTATTGGGCAGTGTTTCGAATAGAATTTACATATATATTAACAGTCAAAACAAAAAACACACAGAAAATTAATAAAATTAGACAAATGATTTGTCACAACCACTGTCAGAGCAATGACTACGGAGATCTTATCGTATGTGCTACTCGAATCACACTAATCAGATACTTCATAAAATTTATTGTTCGCTTCTTTCGCTGCATTGGTTTGTGCATATTGCGTTCTGTTCTCTTCTCTGTTCAAACGTATATCGCACTTCGTCTTATTCCATTGGCCGTATTGTCTCGGGCTATTATCAACTGTTTTTAATTTCGTCGATACTGTGTGTTGTCCGGTTTTGAATCGTCGTATTTGAATGAACAGAGAACGAGAGAACTGAGCGACAAGGATAGTCGCAGCAAGTTGAAGGCGCTTGACAATTTCGTTATTCGATTGATTTCATTAGTGTGAAGAACAGAAGCCGCATTGGTGATTCTCTTTTACGTTGGTCACCGACACAATATTGAAACTAGCGCAATGTACAATTCTAACAGCATTAGACAGAGACAATTTAAGGAAAAGATAGACAGAGACAGAATTGGCATTTCGTTCTATATATTTTGTGTTTGTTGTTATGCATTGGACTGCACGGCAAATGGGTATGAAATATGAGAATAAATACCGGCCACACAAACACCGTGTACTTTACTATATTTATATTTTTCGTCATTTTATTTGTTTGCCATTGTATTTTATGTACAAATGCACAATGGATGCATACCGATAAAAACAAAAGCTGCAATATGAAATTAACCTATTCAGAGAGATTGTTTCTTTTTTTCGTAATCAGCTGAATTGAAGATATGAATAAGAAGTGTTTACTATTAAACACTACGTGTAGGGGCAGACAGACGTTCATCAATTTATGCAAATTTCGTTGACGTTCAATAACATCTTTATATGAATTCTGAGAAGAAGGAAAAAGAAAACAAAAAAATGCCACGTCATTATCTCCTTCGAACAGAACTCACGTCATTCATTCTTTTTTTTTAATCAAAAGCAAATGTTCATGGTTAATAGGTGAAAGAATCATAATCGAAATCAGATAGGAATTATTTCCTATTCGAGAATTGTTCAGTAATAAATACTTGGCACTTGGCATAATGTGGTCAGACACTTTCAATACTACAGTGTTATCTGGGTGACTTTTGATTTTTGTTTCGTACAATGAAAGAATTTGAACAAACAAATTTATTATTATAAAAACAATGAACAACAAAGATGACTTCAATAGATGAATTGATAAATAAATAAAACTCCATTAATTTTGAGTCAACTAATAATAGATATAAATATATTTCTTGAGATTCGTATGCATTTCCACCAGTTGACTGGCCATCCACAGCGAATATGCGAATCATAACAAATCAACAAATATTGAACAGAGACCATTCAATATTTCCGTTATCAGCGTTCAGCGCCGTCGCATCTCTGTGTATATAAAAACTCTCAATAGCATCCTATTTTCTATCGTCTGTGACCCTTGCACGCAACCGTACATCGTTTATAGTGAGTGGCAAGTGTTGTTCATATAATGCGTGCGCCGCAATTGCAGACTTTATCTGCAAGTTGCAGTGGCTAAATGTTATTTCTTAAACACCCGGTTTATCTAAACTGTCTTTTTTGTCTTTAATGCTGATAATTTTTGATTTTAATTTAAATGGATTTAAGAACACCAACTGCATATTATTCCGTTCAAAGGGAGCATTCAATGTACTCTTTATTATAATCGGTGATTGAAAGTGGCAATGATATCAGTCTATGTGCCAAAAAATGAAACGCAGCTAATTTTTTTTTAGATAAACCAGGTGTTTACGATATCATGTAGCCACTGCAACCGTGTGGCCAAATCACTTAATTTCTTAGTAATATCGTATATGAAGGCAAAATTGTTACCTACACTTAATGTACACTTTTTTGAGACCATAATGCGTTACATAAAATGTTGGATTTAGAAAACCGCTACCCCGGGCAAAGTTATGAGGATGGCCGAAAAAAGAGGTCGATTTTCTGAAAAAAAATTCCAGGTACACTTTGAAACAAAATGTTGTACACTTACCTACACTTTCTCAACACTTAATTGAAACCATAAAGAAGCCATAAGAAAACCATAGATTTATTGCCTAAAACGATAAAAAATAAAATTCACATATAGTTGGCGCTGCATTCTATGAAAACTTGTTTTCCGTTGCAACGGACTAAGTGGAAAGTATACGCTTATTACATAAAATGTAGCGCCAACTATACGTGCATTTTATTTTTTTATCATTTTAGGCAGCAAAATTATGAGTACACAGCCAAAGTTTCGTGAAGAGAATTGCGTTCAATGATTTACATCCTATTATAGTCATGCAACTCGATATCTAATTAGAAATAATGTTACAACTGATAATTACAGAAGTCACACAAAATTATCTTATAAATAAATTTAACAATAATGATTGTCCAAATGATTTCAATTAAACAGTACTATAATGATATCTTGAAACGCTTGATAAAAACAAATCTAAGAGCCCAGATAGAGAGTGTATCTAGTGGCGCTACTGAGTGCCCTCACTCCACAATACCATCAGTAAGCCATAACGTTTCTTCCATTATCATATATGGAGTGAGGTTATTTCGGAAGCATAGATTAGTGCAAGGATTAGTGTTTATAAGAACATTACGCATTAGTGACACTTTGTCTACTAACATATTCCAATATACACAACTAGTCCAAGAGCAAATTATTTTTTTTTCTGTGTACGGCAGATTTTCATGAAATTCTCACTCTATACATTTTCATTTCACACATTCTCATCTTCAGATCTGTACTATCCGAATAATATCACTTGTTTCATTGTAATTGTAACCGCAGTTTTATTCGCGCTACGCGAAATACTATACTTTAGTGTAAAATTCTTCGTTTTATTCCAACTATCTTGGAAAGTGAAAAATCGGCTAATTTTAAAAAAGTAAATTTTAGCGTATTCGTTTCAATGTATGAAAAATCAAGTGAATATCAAATGGTATGAAGTTAGATTTATCAATTCAATTATAAATCATAGATTTTCGTACACAAATCATGTTAATTCAATATTAATTAAAAATCATTTTTGTTTGTCGCTCAATTTATCGCTGATTACATTCGAACACGGAACATTTTCAATTAATTTACGAAAACAAATTATTCATTTGATGATTCAGTGTTGCTTTGATCTGTGCGATATTACGCTAATTCCAATTTTTGGTGTGAATGAAATGTTTTCAATATTTTTAAATTTTTTGCATTTCCATTCAATATTGAGAAGTCTCTATCTCAAACTAGCTTGCGATTTCAAGTGGTCACTAATCTTTGACATATCATTACCTGAACTAACAGGGTTCTCAGATTTGATTAGATTAAATCTAACCATTAGAAATATTCGCAAATTACATGACTTGATTCAGATTTTCAATCATTTTAAAATTGTAATGTTTTCTTCTTGAATTTCATTCACTCACGTCGAATGCTATCGCTATATTCTCATGAGCATATTTTTATCACCTAATACTATTGAACACTGAAACATTTTAAACAAGATGTTGATACTTGACATTTTTTAAAACAATGTTTCACGTTCTCATCTTGGATAAGATTATGATTTTTTGTTGGCAATTTCGTGAATTGTTCAAAAAACTAGTGAAGTCATATGATTGATGTCTCTAGTCAAAAAGTAGTTACGGTACTTGTTGCCGATATACTTTTATTTTTTTCAGGTCGTTTTTTTCTTCAAGTGCAGTGGTGAAATTGAGATTTTTTTCCTTCAGAAACTGTAAATTGAATAAAGTTTTCAGTTATGAGAAGTAAAAAAGTCCAATCAATTATTTATTGGCTGAAGAAAATACACTTAAAAATGAACGCTCTAGAATAAAAACAACGTACTGAATGGTTGATATATCAAAGCGAAACACGGCGTTTCTTAACATAGATTTGTTGTTGTAATTCAACCATTCAGTAGGTTGTTTTTATTCTAGAGCGTTCATATATATTCCAATTGCAATAAAAGTCTAGACCATTTAATTTTGTTTTTGTCATCACAACAGCGATTGTATTGACACGTAATCCTACCTTGAACGATTACATTTTTTTGCTATAACTTAGTGTTTCTTATCACCTTTAAATTTCATGGTTTTTAAAAGCATTTTATAATTCGCATTATTGCTGATTCAACGTGGGTGCAAACAAAACACCAAAAGACACTTCCAGTGTTACAATGTTCTGTTTGAACAGTATGTAAGCCAATAATTGAAATACGTTCGTTATGAAATTTATCGATTTTGTATTATTAACATTGAGGCTCATATGACATTAGAACTATGTAATGAATTTAATCCTATATTGTTGGTTCTAGTTTCAATTATTAGTGATAATTTGCAATCGGTGGAATTCTAGGTTTCTATTGAAAAGAAAACAAGTGCAATGATCTTTTTTTGGGCGGTCAATGGCTCAATACACCGGTCAGAAACCATAAAATTTACAATTTAAACAATATTGTTATTTTTGTTTTTTTTTTTTTTTTAATTGGAACTTGTGGACTATAAAATGTACTGTCTACCAAATTCACAATAAATGAGTCAGTAAATAAAACAAATAATTCCACATTTATTTACTCATTGAAAATTTATGGTTTGGAATGCATGCAAGTTGATAATGAATCATTAATATGAAGTTAATATGAACCAAAATAGCTCTTGGATTTTATTCAGATGTTTTCCCTTTTCAAACATTACTTAAGCAAAAACATTCAAAATTCGGTTCAAAAATGATGTAACGTACATGTGTGCAATATTATTTGAATTTCTCCATCAAAGCAAATATGTTATAAGGTTTGGACATTGAACCGAAGTAGGTTTGCACAATGCACGTGTGAATGATGCAAAAAATGACGTGCGACTTTTCATTAATAATTTGCAAGTTAAATTGCACTAACAATGCTAATAAATGGCACAAAATTATCGTGCACGCAATTTTTATTCTGTTTACTTTTGTTTTTAGTACAGTAATTAGTACTAAGTGTGTATAAAAATAATTGAGAGTGAAAAATGTGGAATAAGACGAATTGTCAAAGTTTGATGATTGTTTGGGTGTTGTGTGAGACTTGCGCTTGGCAATAGACTGTGTGCATATCTGAGTGAATTTGCAGATTTATCGATTTCAATTCGTTGGATTTTATTGTTGTTGGCGTTTCTATTTTTAGGTAATAAAACAAGATAAAGCCCCATTTCTCCTTCGTCATTTCTCCAGAATTTCTCACAATCCAAATACAATTCAGCGCACATGTAAACGTAGATTCGATGTGTGTAAGCAGCCGCCTGACCTAGCTCAAATTGTTCATTCGGTGGCCAAGTGTGAGCCAATCTTTTTTCCATCACAGGCTCTGGACCAATACATATCAATTTTTAATTTCAAGGAGTGTACATCCACATTCTATTCACCTGCTCGCTTTACGCAGACATGAAAAAGATTTAACATTCATTTGTCATTTCAATTGTGTGTTTCACGTCATTTGCAGTGCTAATAAATTGTTTTTTTTTCTCTAATTTAATCAAAAAATTTTATAACACATATCGATATCATTGGTCTTTCATTTCATTTTTTTAATAAAAAAATTGATTTGAAACAATAAAGCCATTGAAATTAAAGCATTACGCTGAAACAACTATAAAAGAATATAGAAATGATTCACGGCAAAGCCATTACCAATCTCGGTATTCAGTTTGATAAAAGGTGTACCATAAATAATTGAACTGATATCGGCTGTTCAAAACACTTTTTGGAGCTGATTTACGGCATTGATATTAATCGCGCTCAGTCCAAACACAACTCTTCAATTACGCTGAAAATATTATTTAATATATTTACGCATTATTATACGTTACTTCATCAATAGAATTGATGTGTAGTGGTGAGACGATAACCGACAAATTTTCAAAGTGTGTGCCAAGAATTTTGTTAATCAATCCGAATCAATATACACGGTGTTGCTCCGAAAATATTTCATCAGTTCAATTTGAGCCATCGACGGTTAACGATTCGCTTTAAAATACACACATTTTGTTCGACACAGTTTTTGTGATTTTTTTTTTCCGTAAATTTATTCAACCAATTTTGTTATTCACATTTTGAGTGAGAAAAAAAATAAAGAAAATGACTAAAGCAAATATGTTGTGGATATTTGTCCTAGCATTTATCATGCCAATTGGTTTTAATTCCGCATGTGAAGGAGGTAGCTGCGGAGGAAGTGGAGATTGTTGTAAACCTTCCCCAGCTCCTCCCCAATTACCAAATCTAGCTGTAGTTACATGGGCCCATGCAGTCAATAGCGACGATTTTTTGGAGACCACACTTAAAAATGGTGAGTTCGATACTTTTAATAGGAAAGAATCAACATGAACACTTTTTCACAATATTCTTTTAGTAGCTACTAGTATGATCTAATTTTGTATAGTAAAAATTCGTGTCCTACTCCTAGAGAAAATGTGTATTCTACCACAGCTAACGAATATGTACCAAACGCTATATTCAAAAATATAATACTGTCTTTCGTGAATTTACCGATTCGTTACTTGTGGTAAAATACAAGAGAAATGTTTGAGTCAGAATATTATGTAATCAATAAATATTTACCTAATTTTTCTCCATATTGTTCGTCAATATCAGTTTTATGAATAAAACTTTTATCCATTGAACAAAAAAAGTTTATGTTAAACGAAGGAATCATATATTTGTTTTCTATTCATGTTACACAGAGGGAATCAAAATGATTGAAGCCGATGTGGTCATGGGAACTGTTGTTACACAACCACAAACCGAAAAACCCGATACCTCAACGCCCAAAGCAGAGCCCCAAAAAAAATCAGATGCTACTGGAAATGAAAATGCCGCCGGAAGTAATTCCGGAAAAGAACCCGAAAAGCCAACGGCAACAGTTCCAATCATGGCGCATCCACCATCGGTCACATCAGATTTGTCATTTGAACAGTTTGTGTATAAGGTGGCTAAATACAACGCTGGAGCCAAAGAAACAAAAGCAAAGGGTGTTAAGCTTGATTTTAAAAGTATTGAAGCCGTGAAAAATGCGTTGCCATTGATAAGAGAAGCTAAATTTGAGGTGCGTATTAATATCTAAAAACTGTTTAGCAAATCGCTAAGTCTATTTTTTCCTTTCTTTTTATTCATTTATCTAGTTGAGTCCTGTATGGATAAATGCTGACATTCTTGCTGGTCCTGGTGCATCTACTACGAAACCAGTTGATGCAAAAGCATTTTTCGATGCCGTTAAAGCTGAAGTTGGACTGCAGAAAGCAACACTTTCAATTGGTTGGACAACCAATTTGGTCGATAATGCCCAATACACTGATGCTAACGTTGAAGAAATGCTCAAAACTATTCGAGAAAATATTAAGTCAGATGAAGATAAATTACATCCAATCACATTCCCTGTACGTGCGGCTATTGCTGCCGAAAGCCAAGCTGCCCTAGATAAATTGGTGACAGAAGTTGAGAAAATGAATATAGCTACCACCCTGACCATTTGGACTGCAGCAAGTGATGAGAAAAAAATCGATATGAAAAAATTGCAAGCACTTATTAATCACTTTGGCACTAGCAAAGTGTACGTTGATTTAGATGACAAATTGAAAGGAGGTCTAACTTTGGTACCAAAACCAAATGGTGCTTCGTCACTTGTTAATTTCGGTCTTTTGAATGTGGCCACTTTTCTCTTTGCTTTATTCCTTAGAAATGGGTTTTATTAAAATTAGAACATAGAGCATTTGAACTAGAGCTGTCCCATCGAGCTACATTTACCATGAAATTTAAAAAAAATTCAAAATAACAAAAAAAAAAAACAATTCAATGATTGATTTTAAGTTTGGCATCGTTTAAAACAACAATTATAAACTCCGAAATTTTATTAGAAATGTCTATAGATTAGTGCACTATCAAAATATACACAGCCACATATATACGATTTTAGAGAATGTTGTTGAACATTTTAGTTGTTATATTGAAATCAGAATTATCAATTACTAGATCAATTACTAAAGAAATAAATTGAAAAGACCCAAACATGTGCCATTTTCCTACTTAGTACAAGATTTTACCTCAACGAACATAATTATGATGAATTTTTTGAGTGTAAACATGTTTTCACTTAGAGTCCATTGCATTGCAACAAATATAATTATTAAAATTAGAGATTAAAATAAATGGAATTCAATCAATTGAAAATGAAATTGTCGTTTTAGTTTTTGTTTGAGTACGTATCTGCCCAATTGAATCGATTGTGTTCGACAAGAGAACACAATAGAAACCAGAGATAATGAAAATTAAAAACTTTTCCGCTTCGTAATAACAATCAAAGGCTCAAGTGGTGAGTCACATGTGTTTGAGTTTTTAAATGCTATGCACAATGACGACGACGACATATAATTGGCGCGTACATTCGAATTGGATTTGTGTAATATTTTTAGTACAAAAGCCCGAAATGAATAGAGGGCGCTGTGCGAACGTTGACAGATGCGTATTGGAGAAAATAATTCTTTTTCGGGCAATATGGCGACGGCGTACGAGGTTGAAATGTCATCGCGAAATCCGGTGCTCACTCTTTCACGTGTTGTTTTTCTACGATACGGCTGTCGGTGAGTGCCTTTCGAGTGATTTTTTAGAATTTCCATCGAAAAACTATTCATAAAAATATGCTCAAGACATTCTTTCAATTAAAAGCATTGTAATGCATATGGAATTCACAAGAAAATTGCGCATTTTTGTGGAAAATTTGTTAAATTTTGAAAATATGAATATTGTATGTGATGTTCATTCGACTAACCTCAAAGTGCACAAGCATTGTGTGTATGTGCGCTGTCAATGGTTACATTTTTTTAACGTGTTGAGCATGTTTTTCTTTATCCACATTTGACATCGCATAGTTTTCACTTTTGTTTGAAGAAAAAAAGGGATCCATTTAATCAGATTGCTTTTTTTTTTCGTTGAATATTTGCAGCTAATTTTAGTTCATCATGAAGTTCAACAAGCACGTTACCTCAGACCGAAGCAAAAACCGTAAGCGGCACTTCACTGCCCCTTCACACATTCGTCGGAAGTTGATGTCAGCACCTTTGTCCAAAGAATTGAGACAAAAATACAACGTTCGCCGTATGCCAATCCGTAAAGACGATGAAGTTCAGGTATGTAAAAATTTAATGCCTGCATCGTGATTGATTTTGAATTGGAACTAAATGCCTTGATTTCGTTATTATAGGTTGTACGAGGTCACTACAAAAGCAACACAGTTGGCAAAGTGATCCAAGTTTACAGAAAAAAATTCGTTGTCTACATCGAACGTATCCAACGTGAAAAGACAAACGGTACAAATGCCCCAGTTGGTATCCATCCATCAAAGGTTAGTTTCTTAAGACAGGAACATAATAGATTAACATGATTTAGTGAACATGTGTTTTGGCACTGGAGTGTTTATGTGTAACAATACAGATTTCTTTGCTATCTGTGAAAACAAAAACAAAAATTGTGCAAAATAATAATCGTCTAATATTTAAATTGATGTATCGTGGCAATTGAACTGAATTTATAACTTAAAATTCGATGACATCTAATGTTTTGGTATTTTTGTTTCTTTTACAGTGCGTTATCGTTAAATTGAAGATGGACAAGGACCGTAAAGCCATCTTGGAACGTCGTGCTAAGGGACGATTGGCCGCTCTTGGAAAAGACAAGGGCAAATACACCGAAGAAACAACAACAGCCACTCCAATGGAAACTGCATAAAATGTCAAGTACATATAAATATGTGTAAACAACGGAATGCCGTCACTTCTTTTTTTGATGACATTTTATCAAATAAGAAAATAAACTGGTGTTTTTTGATCAAAACATCGATCATTAAAATTATTAAAAGAAAACTTTTTTTATTCAATTCCAAATCGAAGATGTTGTAAATGAATGGAGTTTTATTTGACCAAAGAACATGCATGGTCCAAAGAAAAAGTAAGCCATGCGTTCACATAGAGAAACGCTTATTATTGGGAACTGTAACTGTTTGGGCTTTTAAAATATGGAAAAGAAATATGAAAAAGAAGAAACATTGATGTATTCATAGAGAAAACCTCCCAATTCTTCTTTCAAAAAAAAAAAAAACTTTCCATTAAAGACGAGCTAAAGATTTATTGGTATTTGCTTTTACAGTCAATGTTTGTACTTAAATCAAAAATGACGTTAAAAATGTAAGTAACACGTCTGTTTTAAACACACAAAAACCTCCACAATGATTATAATTATATATCAGTTGTTTATCATAAACTATGTTAACTGTCGTTGTGTCCGATAAATTGTTTTAAAATGCGCATATCGACAACGATTCCACATATACGAAACAGAACCGAAACAAAAGTGAAACGGTGCCTTTTGCCGGATTCCGACAAACAACGCATTTTATTTATATACATTTAGTCGAACGAACAAAATCGTTTGACACATTTGCTGCCGCTGTTGCTCTTTATAAATCTCCGTATTTTACATAGTAATTGCATCTCTCTCTGTACTATACCGAACTGTAAATTTTCGTTGATGATAATTGACTTCTCCTAATTGTATGTAGTGTGTTTTTTTTGTTCGCGTCTACGCTCATTCATTTGGTGAACATATTGCATTGAGTGCCAGTTGAACTGAGGCTGTACAATAAATTACATGTGCCGTGTACTTATTACATTTGATCGGGTTTTATATTTTCTAAGTGTATAAATTAAATATATAAAAATTATTTTTAAATATGTACACCCAATTTGGCAGCGCTGTGAAAAAAGTATTCTCATCCGATGATAATTTGGAGAATAATAACATTCTGGAAACGACACACCATTCAAAACCAATATTCGAAAAAATCAATCCAGATAAATATTTTCGCATCACGGTAAGAAAAAAAAATCTGAATAAATAAAAACAATGGCACAATGTGCCAGAAATCAGTTCGCGCTGACTCATTCGTTCGATCTCAATGAATATCTGTTTTTTTTCGCACATAAATTCAACGACTTACAATGGAAAATCAACATTTACGGTCATTCAATTGTGTTTAACTTTCGTTCAATAGAAAGTACTCGTTTTTTACTGTGTTATATTAAATCAGGGCATTGATTTTATGGTAAATTGCCAATTGTAATACGTTAGAATTTGTCGTTTGGTTTTATTCGCATTGCATTGGTTATGGACAGCCCTACTTTTAAAATTGATGCTTGCCCTGTGTATTCAGTGCTAATACAACCACTTAACTCGTACCAATACTATCGCAATGACAGTTTTCCGCCATATAGAATCAAAACAACTCAGCAAAAGAACAAGAATTCGCTCACACCCATACCAGCTCATACACACAACGCAGTGATATTCATTTTAATCAAATTGAATAAAAAAATCTTTCTCTCTTGTTGACGACTTATTTTGTATATATGCTTTAATTCGTCTTTCACTGTCTTTTATGATAAAACGACACATACGCCGCTTTTGTGCATTTTATTTGTATAGAATGTTATTTGTAGCAATTACTTCCATCAAAACGTCGACGTCATCTTCATAAAATCATATATACACTTGTAAAGATCTCATTGTGGCAAAAACATCCATACAATCGTCTGTGTGTTAAGAAAAATATTGTTCATTTGCAAATGATATCTGTATATCGCGACGCGCAAACGAACCGGACTTTTATTTTGGGAGTGATAACATCGACATTTCTACGTATTTTTCTTTAAATTGCATAAATATCAGTTTTTTGTCTTCGTTTTTGAGTTCACAATAGATTTTTTTTATATATATCGTCCGTAATTACATTTTAACAATAAAAAAAATTCGAACATTGTTTTGGGTGTGAGTGAGTGTATGTCTGTTTGAAAATAAGTGATTTTAGTTACAATAGATAAAACAAAAAGAAAACAGACTCAAGTCAAAATACCGCTGCAAAAATGATGGTAAGAATAAGCAAGGAAAACCATATTGAACGTCTATTTTCTGGAAATAAATTGAGATTCATCGATTTGAAGAAGCGATATGCATTCGACATTGAATTCTAATGTAAAAAAAATGTTGTTCGCATAGTAGCAAGTACTTTTATCACAAACGAAAGAGGCGTATTTCGGTGTTAATTGAATTACATATAAAATGGCATCACTGGTTTCCGTTGAGCGATATGAGTCATTTCTGTGAAAACTGGTTCTACTGATAAACACAATCACAATATTTACTTATTTTTTTACATGAAATGCAACAGAATTTTATATATATTGAATTTGTTTCTACCGTAAACTAACAGGATAGTGCTGATGAAACAACAACAAATGGTAATCCATTGCATGATGAAAACGGTGACAATGGTGACAGTGTGACCAGTGTATCGGACGCTGGCTCAGGAACACCACCCTTACAATTATCATCGTCACAAATTAAGCAACAGGGATCCATCGATGAGGAAAATAATGGTACAAATGCGGCTGCAATAGCCACAACAACGCCAACCAATTCCATTCCATTAGCTGAAAATACATTATTAGTTGATATATCGGATGCGCTTAGCGAAAAAGATAAGGTTAAATTTACCGTACATACACGCACCACATTTCCAACGTATGCCAAAAAAGACTTTTTGGTTGTGCGTCAACACGAAGAATTCATTTGGCTACACGATCGATATGAAGAAAATGAAGAATATGCAGGATACATTGTAAGTCTCTATTTTACGTGGATACTTAAAAAGTTTTTAACGATTCGGTTTTGATTGTAAATTAGATTCCACCGTGCCCACCGCGACCGGATTTCGATGCGTCACGTGAAAAACTACAGCGTCTTGGTGAAGGTGAGGGAAATATGACAAAAGAAGAATTTAAGAAAATGAAACAGGAACTTGAAGCGTAAGTCAATGATCAAACGTGACAAATACTGGTACGGATTAATCGAAATTTATTGTAAATTTGCAGTGAATATTTGGCAACATTCAAAAAAACAGTGGCAATGCATGAAGTATTTCTATCACGATTGGCCGCCCATCCCGTATTTCGAATGGACCAACATTTGAAAGTGTTCTTGGAATATGATCAAGATTTGTGTGCAAAACCGCGAAAAAAAATCGACCTATTTGGCGGTTTGGTACGAAGTTTGGGCAAAACCACCGATGAAATCTATTTGGGCGCTACAGTTCGTGATGTAAATGATTTCTTTGAAAATGAATACACGTACCTAACCGAATTGAATGCACATCTTAAAGAAGGGGCCACCCGTACCGAACGCATGACCAAAAAACATAAAGAAGTCGCCGACACACATATCAAAATTTCATCGAATTTAGTACAGTTGTCCACACATCACAGCAACAATATGGAGAAATTTTTGGCCAAAAGTGCTGAAGTTTTTGAAAAGATACGTGTAAGTTAGCCACTTGTTCCAACATTTTTCATTCATTCAAAAAATTTAACTGCTAGAGAAGAAAAAGGCGAAGTAAATAATCCGGTTACCGGTTTTTTTTTCCAGAATATGGAAGGTCGTGTATCGAGCGATCAAGATTTAAAACTTGGAGATACACTGAGATACTATCAACGTGACAGTAATGCGGCCAAAGCTCTATTGGTTCGACGTTTACGATGTTTGGCCGCTTATGAGACGGCAAATCGGAATTTGGAGAAGGCTCGATCCAAAAATAAAGATGTTCATGCGGTGAGTTTCATTGTTATTTAAAAAATCAAGATAAAAATGTGTTACAAAATTATTGTTAAACTAACCAATGCTGATTGTGCGATAAGCTGAAACCATTGAAATACGTACCTTTGGTAAATATGTACTCAATTTACTAATCAAAATCCATAAACTCTGCTCTTTTCAAGCAGCCATTGGAGGTACAAGAGGTAAAATGCTTTAAAGCTTTTGTGTTTGTCGTTTATTTTTTTTTTGTTTTCTGCACACATATATGTATGATGTTTTCGTTTTTGTTCTTTGCACTGAATACCACCTTTTTTTGTTAATGCAAAACATTTTAAAAATTGTGAATGAGTCTCAAATACTATATTTACACGAATATCGTTATTTTATCGTTTATTCTGTTGATATTTGCAGGCTGAACAAGCTCAAACGGATGCATGTGAGAAATTCGAAGCGATGTCGGCACGTGGAAAACAGGAGTTGATTAGTTTCCGTACACGTCGTGTGGCTGCCTTTAAAAAGTCCCTCATCGAACTGGCTGAACTGGAAGTGAAACATGCTAAATCTCAATACGAATATTTGCGACAATCTGTACTCGCTTTGCGTGAACTCGCTTAAATTTAAATAGATATATATTCAATTGACCTATCGGCAAATTGGTTTCGCAAAGTTCAGACTTTGCGCTAAATCCAGACCAAAAATAAATGAAACATTTAATTCTTTTTTTATATTTGTATGGATGTTACGTGATTCCAAAAAAAAAAAAAAAAAAATACTTTTTTTAAAAGGATGCATAAATACACTCAAACAATAAATGTATATTCGTTAAACTAAAACTCGACTGAGGAGGAGTAATTGTTAGATGTCAAAAAGTAAACAGAACCAATTAGAAAATTTTCATAAATGAAATTGAAAAATTTTATGTGGATAATTTGTAGATGTGGATTGTGCTTCAATATAATTGTGTTTTGGAATTTCAAAACAATCACAAACGACGTACACTATATCGAGAGATTATTTGCTCGATTTACGATTTATATGAAATACATTTTTTTGAAGTTTTCAATCCATTTACAATATAAAATAAACAAATTTATTACATCAGCGAATATTTTGCGGTCGTTATTTTAAAGCTCGAGGGTGACATTAGATGAAGGTAGTTTTAAACGATAAAAAACAAGTGAAATTGTCGGTAGGTCATCGGCATGTATAAAAATTATTATCATCTTTCGGTAATCATCTTCCTTACCTTTACCTAATTCTATAGTATATTTTTTTGTACTGAAAATTCCCAAGTTTTTTTCTTCATCGGATAAGCTATATTCTATGCTATTTCATCGTTTGTCTTTCAAAATCCAAAAAATGCATATTTATGTCTATTTACATTTTTCCAGCCCTGTGTCAGTGCATCTAACACTATCTATTGTCACTGTCATTTGTATTGTACCATTGTACGCAGAATGAGCCAACCAACTTCACGCCAAACCGTTATTCAATCGAAGAAAATGTAAGCAAGTAACAACAGACAGAGCGAAAAAAAACCCAATACGAAGAAAATTATGGAAAATTAGTGGAGAAATTTACGTAGATTTTTTTGTTGTTGTTTTTTTTTTTTATCAGGCGTCAGTAGTGCATTAAAATCACAATTTGGATTTTGTTTGATTGTGAGTGGTTAAACGAAAAATGTTGATTGCATTTATGCATTTATCTATTCGATTTAAAGGTGATGATTATTGCCCAGCACATTGTACGAATCAAATGTTTTGATTTTATAAAGAGAAGCCTATTTTTATGCGGTGCTTAATTTTGTCTAGAGCTTTCTCTCTCTCTCTCTCGTTTTCATATTTTCTTTTTATTTAAATAATATTGGTGCGTGTGTGAAAATCGGCCAACCATAAAAACAATAACAAACCAGGCCCCTAAAAACAGTGCAGCTCTTTTGTGTATGAAAAGAAACAACGCAATGCATAAATAGATTCCAGCGCATTGATATAATCATTTGTGGCATTTTGTGATTTAAAATATAAAACGAAGTGGCAAATAAATATATTTCACACCATTCTATTGACACAAATGCTTTTTATCGCAAAAGGGAAATTTCAGTGTCATTAAGCAGCCGTTTATTTGTCTGTTTGCTTCATCGTATTCAATTTTTGTAGATTTTGACATTGAAACGTGTCTATATTGAAATCGATAAAAAAAAAAAATAATAATTAAAACGCGAAAAAAATTGAAATCGACGGCCAGGGTATATATACGATAACGCGGTATGGATGACGAACTAGAAGATAAAGTGTTCTATCAAACGTATATATCACACATGAGACTCTTGTCGAAATTTGCTATGGGTATTTCGCCCTTGAACTCTACCATGGCCTATATTTGGAAGCTGTTGCGTTTGTATTGCATACGACCGGAGGTATTATTGTTCGCTGTGCTGTGCATTATCTTTGTGAGTTATTTGCATGTGCTTGAATTATGGAGTCAAAATGTGATGCGACGTGTAAGTCATCATTTCGGTGTGCCATTGTATTCGCCACGAAATACAGGCCGTACACCAGCTCGATCACCGGCTGAACGAAACAGTTGGGAGGAAATTCATGATTACGGCGCAGTTTATGCGGTTCAAGGAAGGCGACCTCGAATGGAAGATCGGTGAGTAAAAGTTTTCTATCATCTTTGATATGAATTTTGATCATTTTGCTTATTTCATTGTGTCAAAGTCTGTTCGGCACAGTGCCTTACATAATTTCAAGCGAATACACGTTCACATTAAGTCAATAGTTAAAAATAGCCACTAAGTTCGGGTGTTGTAGACTTTGTTTATTTTCAAGTCGCTAATTGTGTGTTTTTGCGTTTTGTTTTGCCTCTCACGCATCGCGCATCGCGTGTGATTTTGGTATCTGTTTACCATTTGGACCATTTTTTACATGTCATTTTCCTTTTAATTTATTTCTTCTTCAGCTATGTAATGTCTACAAATATTAAAGGCACAGATGTTACGATTTTTGGCATTCTGGATGGACATGGTGGTGAATTTGCGGCTGTATTTGCCAAAGAACAGCTTATGCAAAAATTGAATAAGAAAATTGAAGAAGCCGTAAATATTGCAGCGGGAAAAGTGTCACCACTACCAATGCGCCGAAATTTCATTGAAAATAAAATCGATCAAGAGCCAACTAATGATGCAGACGATAAGAAAATGGATGATACAGTACAACCGCCCCGAACGCCTGGATCTCAACGACGAAACAAAATGAAAAAGGCATTCAGTCAGGACGACGATTGTAATCCAACGAAATCAAATTGCAAAGAGGAACATGGTTTAATTTTGGGCAAATTGACATCGATTCGATTGGCTAAAGAGAGCTTCTTAAAGACAAATAATAAAATGGTTAAACCGACTGAACATGATGCCGGATACTATGTAGATAGAGATAAGAAAATTAATTTCGGTAAAATGGTTACCGATCTTGTGCTACTCACCGACTATGAACTTGTGGAAAAGGCGAAAAAAGAAGTAAGTGAATGAATCTTTTTCTAAAGTGCTCTGGCACTCAGTTTGAAGTTTAAAAAACTAAATTGATCAACATTCTATAAAAACATGTGCTTTGTTTAGGAAAATGTTGCCGGATCAACTCTGCTACTTGCTGTTCTATACAAAACTCAATTAATTGTGGCCAATGTGGGTGATTCACGTGGTGTTATGTGCGATGGCAAAGGCAATGTGATCCCAATGTCGTTTGATCATAAGCCACAGCAAACCAGGTAAATATTGATTTATCACTGTATTTGAATACATTAAATTCAATTGACACAATCTTTTTTGGACACAGGGAATTGAAACGAATTCAGGAAGCCGGCGGTTTTGTCCAATTCAAAGGAGTATGGCGAGTGGCAGGCATATTGGCGACGTCACGTGCCCTTGGTGATTATCCATTGAAGGAGAAAAATTTTGTCATTGCAGAACCGGATATTTTAACATTTGAGCTAAATGATCACAAGTAAATTTGATTTTTGAATTACTAATTACAATTTTCATTATTGATAATTGAAACGAATTAAATTCTTTTTCAGGCCAAAATTCATAATTCTTGCATCCGTAAGCATAAAAATGACTAATAATTTAAATACATAGAAACATAAAATAAATCAGCATATTAATATCCAAAAAATAATAATTTTCAGGATGGGCTATGGGATACATTTTCAAATGAAGAAGCTGTGGCCTATATCAAAGACAAACTGAATGAACCCCATTTCGGCGCCAAATCTATAACAATCGAATCGTACAATCGAGGCTCCGTCGACAATATAACCGTTATGGTGATTGTATTCAAAGATGGTCGATATCAAATTGGTACCTCAAACAACTAAAATACAAATTGTTATTTATACACCTTACCAGAGGCTCTAATAATTGTTACTGTCTAGGTAATTTAAAATGGTTTAGAAATCGAACGTTGTAATGACGCCTCTGAGATGTTTAATTTTTGTTTAATTTTAGTCAAATTGGTTATTATGTCCTTGGAATTTATGTTAAGCATTTACCTTTGATTTCACATGATTTATATATTTACATTCAACCACGTGTCAAATTCTATGGACTTCATTATATTCATTAGTAATATTAATAACAATAATATTTACAGACACAATATTAATGTGCACTCATTCGATGTCGAAAAAAAATCTTTATAACAAAAAGAACATACATATTTTTGAGTAGAAATCGATACCGAAACGAAACAAACAATGAATGCTGTATAAATTTTTATGCTCGACATAACAAACGAACGATTTATGAAAAATTATATTTTTTGGTGTTTCAGAGGAAATGTATTGATATTCTATATACTAATTTATTTGAAAAAGAAATGAAAAAACAACAACAAACATTAATCAAATGTACATATTTTTTTAGATAAGAAAATCCTATTTACCTATTTACAGATTTTATTAGGATTAAATGAGAAAATTTGTCACAATCAAGTTTCCGAACTAATTCAATTGATATATAAATAAAATGGTAAATATGAACCGCAACTCTGAGTTTTATTTCTAATATGCCTTATATATAAGCAATATGACAATGTTTACCATAAATTCAGTCATTATTTCCTTCTTAATAATTCAATTATGTCTACGGTATTTATCAATGAGCGCTAATATCGTAGATTTTTTTTTATCGATTCCACCAATACGACATCTACTAAAAAACTCGCCGATTTCTGTTACTAGTGGTGTTTTAATACAGCTCGTGTAAACGTACAAAGGACTCTGCACTCAGTCGTCAATCGTAGCTGCTTGTGCAAAATTTACAATACATACGCATACACAGGATCGGAGTCTGTGTTTTCTTTTGTATTAGTTCGTCTGTAATACAGCCATAGCCGTATAGTTCGCTCGAGCTGTGTCAAAGCAACAGTAGTAACAAAAATCAGTATCTTTTTTAACAGATGTCGTATTCGTAGAATCGATAAAATTAATTCGTATGGGGAATATACGATACTAGTTCCCATCGGTATTTATTGCACTAATCAGCGTATATAAAACTAATTTATGATATACTGTCTTACACCTCGTTAAAATTGAAGTACACAAAAAATAATTTAAATATTTCCATGCTTCAATTAAAAAGACGTAAGAAGAGCATTAGCAGTTAAGTAATTAAAAGCGGGATTTTCCCCATCACAGCAAATATGATAATTGATGTCAGATGATGACTTTAATTGCACGTAATCAAATGTGTTACTAATCAAAAGTACTGCGCAAAAGATTTTGTCAATAGAACTTAATGTATCCAAATAAAGTGATAAATCAATATTTGACTACCTTTTAGAAATTTCCTTAAAGTCCTAGTGGAGGATCCTTATCATTCAGGTTTCTGTTAATCAGTTTTGGTTTTCTTTAGATAAATCGGTGATTAGTCGATTGTATCCTACATTATGATTTTTTCCCTAATCTATATGACGCTGAGTTACTAATTTACGAGTCTATGCTGAAACCCATATCTTCGTTATGCACACATTCGGGACCGACTATTGCTTAACGGGCCCTCCGAAGCACGGTGGACACAGTAACTCATGACTACATACAATATTCTACGATGGTCACCCATTCAAACACTAACCACAGCATATGCAGCTTAACTTCAGTGATCGAATAGTACCGTAGTAGCTACTGTGCACACTGACTTTTTTTTGACTACCTTAATATTTATTATTGAAAAATAGTGAAAGAGCCATGTCCGATGGATAGAGATAGATGTTCAAATCAATTCTATTCTGCTTTTAGTTTTTGTACATTTTGTAAATGTTAATTAATGATACATATATACGTCCCAATTAGGTAATTGTCAATTATTCATGTGATTGAATTCCTTCAACTACAGGTTACTATTATCTTTTTATTGTAAACAACATGTTGTTAAACAATGATCTAACATGCCATAAAAGTCACTAAATTCACGCCATTATTGTAAAAAAAAAAATCTACGGAAAATTTGGTTTTGCAAATAATCAAATGTTAGTAGTATCAGCCTAAGTAGGTTAATTATTTAATATTTCTAAAACAATTGTCTCTACAACCACACAAACATGAGAATTAAATGCAATTCGTGTGAACATAGCTGGGAAGACAGGGGTGGAGGGGGGAATTACCCCCCTCTGAGGAATTAAATTGTGGCAATACTCCTTTAAAAATTACACGACATTTCAATTACCCCTTTACGAATTTACTCTTTCCGAGAAGGTGTTTGCACTAGACAGAATGGACTTTTGGGAAAATTCTTTTAATTTGTTAGGGTTTTTAGGAATAAAATTCTTTTGATTTGCTAGGGTTTTTAGGAATACAATTCTTTGGATTTGGTAGAGTTTTTAACGAGAAAAATCGTCCAATTTACAAATTCTCCCCTCGGTCATAAATTTTGATCCGGATGAAATAAAAAACGCCTTATTTTTACACTAAAAGCTATATTTAGTAAAATATTATTTACCCCCTCATAATTTTTGAAAAGTTTGAAATTACCCCTTTACAAATTAGAATAAATTTTCATTACCCCTCCCCTTCGCACCCCTGAATTTTTCAGTCTGCCCAGCTATGCGTGTGAACGGGCAATGATGTCACAAATAAAATTTATGTCTATATTGCATGGAAAAATTTCAAATTGTTACTTTTACTCAAAATTATATAAAATTGCGAATATATCAGTGAGAGTTGTTTGAAAATCTATATAAAAATAAATGACGCTTTTGTTGAAAAGAAATTTAAAGACTAGATCGTGAATATCGTAAAAAATGTGCTCTTGATAATATTTAAGATTTGATTAGAAATCATAAAATGTTGAATGAGTGTCAAAAATCTGCTTATCTGAATCGATTGTATAGTGCCTGAGTATATCAGAGGAAGTTAATTTTTATTTTCAAATATTCTAATCGGATTTTTGGAGCATGGCTATTAAAATTTGATATATGACATTGAAAAAACTGAGAGTATAAAAGCTCTTTCGATTATCATACTAATCAGTTCGAGTGTATTGCTCATGTCGATTTCTTCGAATTTCATAAAATATTCGAAGAATTTTGCAATTCAGCAGCAAAATGGTGGCACGATATATTTTTAAGAAATCGATCGTAATCGTTTTACTCTGTTTGATTCCATTTACGATCTGTTCTTGCGAGGCAGGAAGTCAAACGGTTTTGTCTACAAACGATTTGAATGAAAGATACGGCCAAGGTATGTGAAAGAAGTACACGGTTTCAATTTGATTTAATTAAACTAAAATCATCCCCATCCAGCAAACCGAACATACAACGATGGAATCAGTTGTTACCGTGACTGCGATGGCACACCAAAAAATTGTTACTTCAAATTTATGGTAGAAACCTATGACACAATGTCTAAGTAAGTTAAATCCCTTTCACCTTTCTAGAATCTATTTTTCAACATTTTATACGAATCATTTTACAGATTATGTGGTGATTGTGTGAATGGTATATTAAGTGATTGTTTCAATCCTGGTTGTGTAACTGCAAACGGTGTTGAACGTAATATAATGACAGTAAATCGCGAATTACCAGGAACACCAATCAATGTTTGCAAAGATGATCGTGTCATTATCGATGTGACAAATCATTTGCCCGGAGCTGAATTGTCAATTCATTGGCACGGAGTTTATCAAACAGAAACACCGTGGATGGATGGTGTGCCAATGGTAACACAATGCCCAATCCCATCAGGAACTACATTCCGCTACGATTTCCATGTACGTGAATCAGGTACTCATTACTATCACGCACATTCAGGCGTGCACAGAACCAATGGTCTCACCGGAACAATGAACGTTCGCCAACCAGATGATACAAATGCAGAATTTTACGATTACGATAGAGCAGAACATTCGATTTTATTGGCTGATTGGTATAACTTTTTGGCGGAGGATTTTTCGCCAGGAATTCAAAGTAGGCCATTACAACCCGATAGTATTTTAATCAATGGACGTGGAAGTTTTAACAATTCTGAATTCGGAAATTTCACCTATGCTCCATTGGAAGTATTTTATGTTGAGAGAGGAAAACGACACCTGTTCCGTATTGATAATGCCGCATCACATAACTGTCCCTTTGAATTTAGTGTTCGTATCTTTAAATGTGACTTATTTCAAATGAATTGTTCTCATTTAAAATGATTGAATTCTAGATTGAGGATCATAAATTGACAGTGACTGCAACAGATGGTTATCCGATTCGGCCAGTAACTGTGGACCGTGTTGTTTCACAAGCAGGAGAGCGATATGATGTTGTTATTGATGCAATAAATGATGCAAATATAAGTAAGCTGGTCATACGAAATGAATCTATTTAAATGTAATCGTTAATTTGAGGAAAATCATTTTTGTTTTGCAGAACAAAAATTAATTCGAGTTCGTGCTTTGGGCACTTGTGCTACTCTTCAGTTACAAGAATTCGCTAGAATCGTTTTTGTAAACAATTTGGATAAATATTTTGTTCGGGAAGCAAACCAAGAACCATTGAATACAAGACCGAGCTATAATTCACTGGACGACCCCACAGCAGCTGTAAGTTTTGGCAATTAATTAAAGTTTTTTCATGGTTTTCGGAAGTGAATGTTACAATTTTATTATTCTATCACAGTATTTGAATCATCCGCAAACAGATTGCACTGATAAAACTTCAAATAGTCTTTGCGTTGCAGCCTTACAGCAAAAAGACATATCAAGTCCCACTGGAGGGAACTTAAGATTTGAAAACATCGCAAATGGTTTTCCATTTGAATTCCGAAACATAATTGGTCAAGAAAGACCAAGCGTTTACTTGAGTATGTTTTTTAACATTTTTAATAAGCATATCATGAATTTAGTTTAACATCTACCGATTTTACTTTAAATTTAGCTGCTGGTAACGTGACCATGGTATCAACGATAAATAATATTTCGAGTGTTCATCCGCCATTCTCAATTCTAACTCAAGATGATTCTAGCCTCAAATATTGTAATGCTGATAATTTACCGTCAAATTGTGAACCTGGAAAGGTGTGCTATTGCACTCACTTAACCAAACTTGAACTTTGCAAAGTCTATGAATTCTTCTTGTATGATTTGGCCGGTCGTAAGTATTTGATCATATTGAACTCATTCGGCTCAGACCTCATATACATTCTTCATTTTATATAGAACCAGGAGGGCCGATAAGTCATCCAATTCATTTGCATGGTTACGGATTTCAAGTAGTCGATATGGGAACCTTGAACCAATATAAATCTAGAACAACAGCATTCGCAGATTCTCAATATCTACCTCCAGTCAAGGATACAGTAAGTATTCCAAGCGGAGGATTCGTTCGATTACGGTTTAAATCGTGTAATCCGGGCTATTGGTATTTCCATTGCCACTTTGAATTTCACATGCACACGGGCATGATGGCCATCTTTAAAGTTGGCGAAAGAGAAGACATGGTACCACCACCACCGAATTTTCCAACTTGTGGAAACTTTATGCCTTCTGTCGATACTTGTACAGTCTAGACCTTTTATAATAATTAAAAGTCGAAACTTCATCCAAAAATGTGTTGACCAAGTAATAAATAACAATGACTGAACAATGACTGTTTTTCACTTTTTCACAAAGTAAAGTAATTGTACCCACAATCTCTCTCCCTGTGTGATACTTTTTTAACATCATTCACTGTATTAAAGAGGCACTATTCACAAAATATTTTTCTATCTATATAAGAGCTGTATATTAATAAGGAACTAATAATAATCTTCAAAAGGAACTAATAATTTGCCATACATATTTTATTATTTGTGTCTGTATGATAAGACATTCTCTTACACGTGTAGCTATCTGGCGCTTGCAATAAAATTTAATTGATAATTGTTCTATATAAATACTAACAAAGGTAAATCAGCATCATTTTATGAGATTTATGAACTTCCAAAAAATGCCATTAAAAATTAGACAACAAATAAATGGTAAATTATGGAAGGCATTCTATAGTAAATCAGGACCAAACTCTAAACACTTCTAATATTATATCTTCAACCAGTGCATTTTTTATTTACACTAGATCATTTAAACTGACATCTAAGTTGAAATTCAATGTGTATTACTGTGAGGATGCCACGATCTAAATATCCCGGCAGGCAGCTGCCACTGGCTTGAAATAGAATCACGCTCAGGCATTGAAATAGAGTGGAAAGTTTCGAATGGAAACAGTAGATGTGATTGTAACAATAAAATTGTTTTTATAACTATAACAATAACTTTTATTGTTATTACACTCGTGTTGGGGAATCTCATTTTTCTACTAAAATCTTCAATCTTAACAAATTTGAAGAAATTTCAAATCGTCAAAATCTGTTTATCTAGATTTAAACAAATGACAACAATGATCTTAGATAATGATGTTCTTGATTATATTGTAGTAAAACGATATATCAAAAGTATGATCTTTCTCCATGATAAAAATGCCAATTCAATACCATTTCCGAATAAATCAAATTCCTGTATGTGTTTAATGAGATATTTAATTTGGTCGAGACTAAAAAAATAAATATGAAACACTCAATGAAACACAGAATATGGTCCACGCTTTTATTTAAATAAAGTACTCATTATACTCACCAAATACTTGCTATTTCAAGTTTACTCTGATGAAATTAATGTGTTAAATGGATTAAGGAAAATTTATCGCCAGATAAATTTCTATAAAAACCAGCTCCAGCTGTGTCGAAAAATGCAAACAGATATGGGATTGAAATAAAACTCAAATTTAATACATAGAATCTCTATGTATTCTTTTGTTACTACATATAAATACATGTTACATGTTAACATTTATCTTTTTTAAGTTTTTTTCAAATTTATTTTATGAATTTATTTTTTCATAACATATTCCTATTTACATAATAGATCATAAACCCCGTATGTTTTTTTTTGGTTTGCTTTCAGTTGCGATGGCAGCATGACACAGTTAGTGAATGTTAAAAGACTGAACTAAAAGCATATTTGATATAGTGCAATCGGATACATTACATTTATTTCAATAGAATAAATGCATTAAGATTAATGACAGATACATTCGAAGAGGTACAATTATTTAGCAAAGACTTATCCATGCTCAGCATGTGAGCTGCAAAGAAACATTGAATAGTATATCGATATAAAGTGATGATTCATTACATACGTTTGTTTTTTTTTTGGTTTAAATTTTGGATATACAAGTTGAGTTTTTAGTCTAAAATTACATTTTAATAGCTCATATTTTATTAACTACAATCTTTAGCATTTTCCAGTTTCACATAAAGAATGTGTTTGGGTCTATGAAAGCCGCAAGCTCTGTGTGTGTGTGTGTGTGTTTTTGTGGAATACAATTGTTCGTCTTCGTTGATTTGCAAATTAGTAGATGGAAAAGCGATAAATGTTTGTGTATGTGCATGAAAGAGCAGTTCCTAGTTGCTGTTATGTCCTATTAGCTTAACCTATATTCATATATCATCATCATCTCTCTGTTGCTGTTATTATTTTGCTGAACTCCTGTTGGGCGGCAATTCTTCTGCTTACTTAATCATAATATCATCTTTTAGATTTAATACATAATCATTCTGATATCTTAGCTAAATATTCCCATCCAACTTTGAGGTTTATGTTTTAAAATAGATTCATTCGCGTCGTAAAGATCTTAGCACTGCACATGCATTGTTAGTTTTTAAAGTTTTATGCTTTTTTATAATGTGTACATAACAATGTAATCAGAAGTTTTCTGAAAGTTTGTATTACCAGTATAGGTTGGTGTTCTTTGGAGAAAATTTTCAATTTTATTATCAAAATTCGTAATTGGTATGTGGCTATTGCCAATCGAAACATTGTTATTTGTACCGAACTTCCCTCTGCAAAATTGTCAATAAAAGGAAGTTCCATTGACATAATTCGTGGATATTCGAATCCAGTCCTTGAATTTGATTAATAAATTGAAATTTCTCTTCAAGTGAGGTATCTTTACTGGTTAGGGCTTAGAGGGAAGCAGCGTTGTCAGAAAGTTGCTCTTTTTTTAAAAAATAATGTCGTTCAAATGAACTTTGCAAATATTTCATGAAAGGAAAATCAGTTAGCGTAATCACGAATAAAACATATTTGTGAACAAAATGATAAACAATTCCACCATTTGCTTGGTTCGTTTGTTTGTCATTTTAACAATAAATTTCTTTTTTCTTCATTTAATTTCTCCCTATCATTTATCATAATCATAATCATAATGAACTATCTTTATATTTGTGCATCAGATGCGAAATATAATTTCTGATATTAATTAATTTAATTAGTTAACAGCGCTTCTTTATGTTTGTATTTGTAATGTACATGTTATTAAATATATTTTTTTTTTTTCATGTATATAAATACTTAAAATAATTTTGGTTGATTCGGTTGAGAAAGGGACAGTGAGAGAAAATATGTTTGAAAAGAATTCAAATTAATTCACTTTAATGATGATTAACAGGGATCGAGAGACAAGCGCAATAAGGGCACACTATATAAACGCCATCTATTAATAACCGACTAACTACAATGTAAATCAAAGGTATCTGTTTCCCCTTTTTATTCACTCCCTTCTCCTCTCGCTATACTTTTACATTGTAGTTAGCCTGTTTTACAAAGATGTCGTTTCTGTGTAAGATGTGTGACGTCACAATGTATTTATATGGATAGCGCTCGACTCTCGACAGGGATGTGGAAGGGTTTTTAAAAAAAATGAATTTCATTCCAAAAAATAAATAAATAAAATAAACCATGTTTAATCATATTATAGTTTTGCGTGCAAATGCAATAGAAACAACAAAAAACACATTTGCATGTAAATATGGCAACGTAAACGTTGAGCAAATAACGAAATCCATTTGATGCATTTCAATTTAATGCTGTAAAAACGAGTTACCAAACATTTACAAAAAAAAATGTAAACAATCAACAAAATGATGAAAATGGCGAGACAAATAAATAAAAAAGGATATCATTTAATTTTGTATCATATTTTGTTTAAAAAAGTGACAATTATATAACCTAGTAGATGTTGACATATGATCAAATTTTACATTTAATTAACTCAAATGGTTTCTTATTAAGAACTATGTACAAATTGGCTTCTTTTTTGAATTATTGTGTGCTTTTCATTATCATTGTGTGTGTGCTTCATTTTAAAAAATAACAAAATTAATTCGATGACCGATACAAAAATTGCTTTAAATGTGGAAAACTGGATTTGTATGCTGTTTCTGTTTGGCATAACAATCACGCACCAAACACAACAAAACAAAAATGGAAATCTGTCTGTGTTTGGATTGTAATTTGATGGATTTATTTGATTTTTGTTCGCTGCTTCGAATAAACACTGAACTTTTGCGCGCATGGATTTATTAACTAGAGAAAACTGAACGAAAAATCACAACTCAAATTATATAACTATCAAATGTGAAACGTATACGTTTCGCAAGCTATATATCGTATTGATTAAGCTTTCTATATTGGAATTTTCGGTATCTTTTGCTAATTTTTTGGCTTCTTCGTTTTAGTTTATTATGTTTACTTGCGCTTTAGAATCAAATACGCAAATTTCTATTTTGAGAAAAATAGAATGAAACAATTAAATTTACTATACAAGACTTTTTTTTGTAGCAACTTTCTTATAGTTAATTATGATTATTTATGCGGATTTATTTCGGAATCGATCTTGTATTTGACGGATATTTCCGTATAATTTTGCTATTTGGTGAATTAAATTTGTTTTTCTTCTTTTGGGGGGAGATTAATGAGGTGTCACAATGATTTTTTTTTTGTATTATATAATGATCAATATGGCTCGTTCATATTTTCCCGTCGTGTTTTTTCCCTATGCGGTATGTGTGAGCTAACAACATATGTGCCTAAGTCAATAAATTATGCTACAGTATTAGTGACACAATCATGTGTGTATTGATGCATGCAATGCGATAAGTTGTTTGATGTGATTAATTATAGATTCCTGATTTGGTTGTTGAAAATGCGGATGGTTCGCCACCAGTGTCCGTTGGTCCTTCAACGGAACACACTGAATCCTCAGGTGTTCGCGATGGTTCGGCTTCGGTCATTTCGGTGTCGTGCGCATGATGACGATGACTTCGATGTTTTGCACTTAATGCCTATTTTATCATCGCAAATCGATTAATGAAAAGAGAATGATACAGAGAGATATAATCATAAAACATATGGCAATATTTCGTCATATAATAATTGCCCACAATAAAATATGTTGACACACACGTGAAAATAATCTCGAAAAAGCAACATATTTTTGTGTAATTCAGTTTACAAACAGTTATTGTTTGCATTTTGCGTTAATGCACAACAAAAACAAAACGAACGAAAAAAAAAAACATATAAAACAAGAATAACCGAATATTACAAACAAATATGAGAAAGCTCTATAAAACTTGAACATGTTGTATGTGTGTATTAGTATATGTATTACATTTGAAATATAAAGAGTAAAAATATGTAGCATGTTGAAATTCAAGCTTATAAAAAGCCAAAAAGCTGACACAAAATATAATAATATACCAAATAAATATACAAAAATATATGACATATAAATGCATTTGAATCTGTTCGGCCTTGTTTTCATGTTTTAACAACAGAATATGGTTACCCAGAGCATTTTTCTACCCGGTTATACCGATTAATGACAATAGACAAAATATAATAAGAAAGAGAGGGATAGAAATATGACACAGACGTAGACACGTACATATAAAATGATAGAGGTGAATAAAAAGATCGGTAATAAACTGAGAACGTGTAAGAGAATGAGTTAGAGAGAAAATCAAAAAGCGATTTATAGTTGGAATGTGGAAAAATTGTATAAAATTTATAGCAGAAGAAGACACATAAAAGCATACAGAGATTTGGTTATGACAAAATGGAAAACGACGATTCGCAACAACTTTTTCGAACCGATTGTGAAGAGATTGTTTTGCCAACGAATGGGTCTTATCCCATTTTTTTTCTGTTCTTTGCCATCACTTGAAACATTTTCGATTATCTTTGCTGGACTAAACGAAACGACACCAATAACGAACGATAGAACAAACGAAAACGAATGTAAAATGGTTATTACATATTTGAATGGTTTATCTATAGAGAAGAATTTAAAGTCATAAGCCGTTTTCACATTTCATACAACCCTTCTACATTGTGGCGGTGGATTGACAGAGAAAGATATATAAAAAAAAAGACTGCGCGCATTTGAATCGTTCACAATTGAGAGAATGAATCTGACTGCATATTCAGTTTCGACAACAGCTGGTTAACGATTTATTCGTTGGCTGTTCAAAGTTCCTTCGCCAACATCGAAGTTCGAGTTCGAACGAATGTTTAATTTTATGCTATCATTAGTCCATATCATCAACTAGATATTCAGTCATATTCATTCTTTGGTTGGAATGGTTTTAATGGTTGCAATAAAATCGCCCATATATTTCTTTCCATTTATGTATATTTGCAAATGTTAACATAAGCTATATGAGCGTGTACAAGTGTGAGTCATGAGGCTATATATATATTTGTACATATGTTATTGTGTGGGCTATGTTTGGATTGTTTCCAAAAAGTAGAAGGAAAAAAAAGAGTAAAATAAAACTGCCTTTGAAAGCAAAATACATAAAAATAAAGGGAATTCAAAGCAAAATCAAAATTGGTCAGAATTATCTTGACAATTTACGCTCCATGTACTCTAATCAGATTTCGGTACTTTGTTGTTATAAACCCATACAAGATTTGTTCGGTTATGAATTGGGGTGAAAAAAAAAAGTTTCAAGCTGTGTATGCATTGCTCTTAAATCGATGTGAAAACAAATTGCAAATCAGCTCTATTGTATATTGGCACAATGCAGGCAACCAAATAACAGAGCACACTGACATTTTTTTCGCATATATATTTGCGGCATAGAAATATTTGCCGATTTTCAAAATTATATTCGCGAAAGCCTGACAATTTAAGCAGAATATATAAATAGACGAATGCTTATTTTTATGCGAAACAGATAATGTGTTTGTTATATCAGCTTGATATCTTCTTTGAACAAAAAATAGCTTGGAATCTGATTAAAGTTCATAAAAACTGTCGTCATTGACAGCAACAGCTGCGAAAAAAGTGCAATAGCCGAAGCGAATCAAAAAATTGTGAAAAGCAAATAAAAATATAAATAAAAGAGCTAGCAAGATCTACATTTGCTTACCTTATCACGACTTCCCTTTTTCTATAAATTCATTTTTAACGAATCGACATAGAGAAGGAGAGTCATACAGTCAATGAGTTTTTTTTTATCGTGTGGTTTTTTGAAAATGTTTTGGGTTTTTGGTATTGAGTTCGGTTTTGTATGGAGGCAACATGTATGCGTGATTATTATCGTTTGTCAATGTGTGTGTATATATTATATATGTTTTATTGTGAGATGAGATTTGATGGGACAAAAATATTAATGAAATATTAATAGTTAATTTGGCTCTAATTTTATAGAATAAAATATGTATATATAAAAAAAAAGTTGTCTATTTAATATATGTATATCGATAGATATTCTAAATGGTAAAATTGTCACTAAATTGCTTTCAAACTAATCTAAATTGGGAAAATAAAATAATTATCGAAAACTATACATAATCTCGAATAGGTTTCATAAAAAAAACCAAATTCCGGGCAATTTTGGTGAATCAGTGAAATTTGCATTTTCATTCATTGAATATTTGGCAACCAAACAGACTGCAAAACTTTGATTTTGGTTATATACAGATATATTGGTTCATTGGTTGGGTGTGTTTGTGTAAAAGGGGTTATAACGCAATAAAAGTTGTTTAAATGGCTTTTAAATGACGGTCTCAAATGGTTGGACGATCAAAAATTTTACGGTTAATTTATTATTGAAACACAACGCGAAATGTATACGTGTATTATATAGTGCATGTAGGACAATAGCGAGCGGCAATGCATATCAAGAACATGGAAGAGAATTTAATGAAATGGATTTTACAATCAATTAATTTAATTTTTAAAGCTTTTAGGCCCAACAATAATGAATGTGAATTGTGTGAAAGTGGACATTTACAACCATTTATTTTACTTTTTTTTCCTGTGATCAATATATTTACACTTTCGCTCGTGCGAAATGTACAGGAGTTTTTTTTTTTTGGTGAAATACATTCGAAATTTGATACTAATGGCATTGTAATTGGGTAACGCCTTTCAATAAAACATGCAATGATCACAGAGGACATTCGATTCGAAGCAGCATAGTACGTATACAATACATTTAGGCAGTAGCAAAGAGAAAGAAACGACAAATGAAATCACACTTATTTCGCATCGGTGTCGTGAGCGATTAAATGACATCGAAAAATTACCATTAAACACACGATGGACAACATCAAATAAAAATTGATTACATTAAGCGTACACACAATGAATGTCTACAAATTCTTTTCTTTGCTTTCTAAATTCAAATTCAGTACATTTTTCACGATTTTTTTTGCTTTCGTTTATTTATTTTCTCGTGAATTTTCTCTTGCACACCAAAACTAGAGCATACACACAAGAACGAAATGAATAATAAAAACACTCAGTAAATTACCTGCAACGAAAATCTTCGGTGTGCAGGCTTACGACCACCTCGTCTCTTGCTAATATGCGGATTATCCTGTCGAAGTGTTTTATTCTTCAACACTTCAAGTTGGGTGTACAATCTACGAACAAAAATTTGTGTCGGCAGCAAAATCAAAATAGCCACCATAAGCGCCACCAATGGCAATGGTAGACCGAGCAAGTACGCAAATCGTATGACATTGTCAGAGTGCATGAGTGGGAAAAAAAAAAGAAAAATCAAATTCGAAACGAACAAATTTAATCAATGAACATCAAATAGACACGCAATTTGCCTGACTCGACAAGCAAAAAAAGAAGAAGATATTGCAAACATTAGAATGAAAAAGTGACTGAGCAAACATGGTACCTTTTTAATTCAGCTCGTATATCTTCTGGGCTCATTTCAGATATTGTCAATTCGCCAATGTCTGGATCGCCTAAGTAAATGCCAGCATAAGCACCACCATGATGGCTCGTATCATGTGCACCCTATCAATTCATATTAATATCAATTTTCGATTTGTTTTATTCGACAGCACACAATTTGTGTTCAATGCATAAGCAAATTTCGATAATGTTCAAATGATTTTGAAAACAATTTAATCTAATATATATTCAATCGTTGGCACGTCGCACAAGATTAGTGCGACTGAAAAATGAAAACGAGAAGCGATACCTGTTTATGTTGGTACCAAAGCTTTGGCAAGAATATCAGTCCCATCGTCAGTGTGTTGGTGAATTGTGAACGTAGAAAAAGTATTAAAAATATTGTTCCCGGACCCCATGAATTCAGATAAATAGCACGCAAAATGTAAAAGTTCACCGAAACAATAAATTCAGCTGAAATCGATGCAACCAGAAATTGTCTTTCCTATACGAAGCGCACGTACACAAAAAAAAGACAAAAATTCAAATTAGGATTGAGTGAGTGACATTTTCAATTTAAAGAGAATTCTCTTTTGTTATCGTTTTTTTTTTAATTCTACCATTTTCAAGAGGGAAAATAAATCACATTTGAATCACTTACCCGGAATTGTGTGTTGGCATTGCGACTTGCGATGGCCAAATGTAAACCAAATGTCAATATTAATATTTCACTAAATTGCGTCACAAATTCCCATTTCATTTGTTGGCATGTATTCGTTTGCACTTCTTGCAATCCTTCAAGTGCAGCCGTTTGTATAAGATCCATTGATGATGCGGTAAATGCTGACATATAGCATACAACGGCAAATATCATCGATGACAAATATTTCAATAGATCAATATCACGCAATACCCATCGATGCGCTTTTCGCGTACGAAATTCGACTAAGTGACGATATAATTTTAATATGATTGCACCATAGCACACGATGAAACCAAGCTCACGGAACCATGGTTCTAACAGGCAACGTACAGTCGATGCAGGAAAGAAGTGTAGACCAACCTAAATATCGAATGCATAATAAATGAGGCGATGAAACAAATGAAGAAGATAGAACACACATATACACAGGAGAAAGAGTTTGCTTTCTGTTAAAATCACAGTTTTTAATTAAATTCGTACAATCATTGTTTTTTTTTCTTCCTTTCTTCTTCTCTTTCAATTTTGAATTTCAAACTCACCGAGGCATACATTAAAAGGATTCCTAATAAAATTATTTCTAAAACGGTCCACATGCCGCTCGAGATGGTCTGAGTAATAGAGGAAATTGAAAATTTACATTAAGATTGTTAATTTATTATAAATGGCATTTTGTGTGCTATGAGCGAGGAGTGAACCAAAGAGACTTTGTATATCAGCATTGAATATGTGTATTCTCTCTCGCTTTTTCTCGCTCGCACATTGATACATTTTATGGTAGAAAACTTATTACCTTGCATTTTCTTTGTCGGAATACAATAATGGCTAAAATTAAACAGCTGAACATGCAAGAACCAAGTATAACGCCAATCGAAAACCGTAATAAAGTTTCCGTTAAAAAATAATCATGCGGTTCGCCGTCGCTACATTCACCCTTCTCATTACAATGTTCACATCCGCCTGGACATGGAATGCACGAATAATTTCCGGCGCCACTGTTGCCGCCATTCATTTCCATATCCTGCGCATCAAATCCTTGCAACGTTTGATTTGGCACATAGTAACCGAAATTACACAGGCATGTGTATGATGTGCGTTGTTTATTTCCAACACTACCACCACTGACACCGCTACTGCCACTGCCACCGTGTGTATCATTTAACATTGATTTAAAACAAAATGTTGTTTCCGTATCACAGCTGCAAAACCCAACGAAACAAGTTTAGCTTTTTTCTTCGTTATATTTTCATCATAAAATGCAATCATGACAGATTACCTGTGTTTTTTTCCAAAAATTGGTTCGCTTAAAGCATCGTTACATGGATCATCGTCGGCGGCTATGAATGAGCTGGCAACAGTTCTGAAAGTTCAAGAAAATACACACAGATACATAAATTATCACATGAATCTTGTCACATTTCTTTGAATCAATTATTGATAAACGCAACATACTTAATTCCATTGGCTTGAAAATTCACACTGAACGGCCAAAGCCAACGTCCTTTTAAGGCGCCACAATCACGAAACGGCGGTCCCCAGAATTGTGCACCTTCAGTATGATTCCATGCTAATCCCAATTCACGCCAATAAGAACGAAAGTAGGTGTGATTGCTTGACACTTCGGGCGCAATATCAATTATATCACGAAATTGTACGACAGCCAATTTCAATGATGGGGCTGCAATTGCAATTGCCAATAAACCCTCATCTTCTTGCGTCATCAGTGATTCAGTGGCGATGGCATTCGCTTGGTTTCGTATCTCCGCCGTTATCGTATTCGCTGGACGTATTGTATTCAAATAATCGGCCAACTTTTTGGCTGCACCAATTGTTACATCGTACGAATCATAGAACTTGATGACCAACACAGATGATACGGCAAAATGACATATAAATCGAAAGAAACAGATTAAATTGATGAATTAAAATATTGTGAAATTGATTTCAAAACCTTTTCGCACACAAAATTAACATCTATCTTATCTGAAGCTTATACTATATGTGTATGTATTACATGTGACTGTGTAGAAGTTAAGCAGAAACGCCCAAAGCATATACATTTTACAAATGGAATGAAATCAATATCAATTCTACACGTTGATATTTAATGTTTTCCATGTCTTCTGTTATACACCGTAAACGAAATGGTTTTGGCTAAAGGATATATCCTGAAACCGGTGAGTTGGAACTAAAATCTTCTTATTGACATTAATCTCAGTTCAACCATAAAAGTAACATGCAATAAAAGCCGAGCATATAAACTCTAGAAATTAACTGTTCGCTCGACCTCTTTATCTTCATGTGGCAGCGAAACATATTTTAGAAGCAAGAAAAAGTAGGAACGAGAATGTGAAGAAAATACGTCTTCAAGTAAGCCGTTCGCTTAAATGCGAACCAAAAAACACCAAACTGAAAGCCGCCATTCGAATAAAATCCAAGGCATAATATTGATTTGTTGTCATCAATATCATCTTGTTGGTCGTTCCCTGTGAGAGTGTGTGTGTATATGCGAGCTTAACACTTCTATTTGAGTCTGTGGATGATGATACAAATGCACACACAATACAAAGCTTCTAAATGTCACCGTAAAATTTATTGGCACGATGAGAAAAAAAATAAAACGAATAAAAATTGTGCGAGTCGAAGTCGGTTTATGTTTTATTCGAAACGAAGTAAAATAAATGTATTGCTTACCGGATCTGGTGGCGTTTCTTCTAAAACTTTTGGTTCGCATTGTTGGTGTGGTTCCGCATTGGCAACGTCTATATTCAATAACAACAATGAAATTACCGCACACAATATAACCGAAACGGATGAATTACGGATGGTGGTGGCTCGTCCGCGAAACCACATTTTAATGTATTGAATGGATTTTTTATTCTTTCTATTGCAATTGCCATGATAAATTTGCGCATTCACACGACAATCATTCGATACGGTATTATTATCGTTTATTATACACCTTTGTGATCGTTGTCTCTTTTGCCAGTTACATTGGTCGTAATTTCTTTGTTCCGTCACATTATGCTCAACTAAATCAATAATGTCATCATCGTCATCGGTGCTAAATGCCGTAAAAATTTTCGTTTGTATTGCAGCCGTTGTTGCTGCTGCCGCTGCTGCTGCCACATCATCACCATCACAGCCGAATCGATTCCGATTGTTTAATGTTAAACAATTACTCGGTTGATAACCAACCATCTCACCACCACCAATTTTTTATTGCAGATATGTGTTTATCAGCCAACATCTATATGAAATGAAAATGAAAATAAACGTCAAATTACAACTATCATAAATAATGCGACGGAATGCCTGTTCGATTGGTTTGTGTTCGTTGACTGGCAAAATCTATCTATAAAAATACACAAACCGAACGGGCATTCATATAAAACTAGTCTATTCATTATATTTATTGATTGTCGTTGTTGTCATCATTTGAACTGAAAACAGCAGCAACAACAACAACGAAAAGCCACAACATCACGTCTCGCAAATAATAAACAATGAATTGTGGAACGTATGTCGATTATTATTAGAACTATCGAATGGAGACGAAGAGATAGAGTAAAAAAACGTTCCATTGTTTAGAATGATAATTACAAAAAAGGCGTATGCTCTGAATAGATAATTCGAATTCGATGGAATTCAATTGAAGGTGAACGGGTGAGTGAGAAAATGGGAAGTGGATACAAAGAGAGAAGTGAAAATCAAAGGGAGAAGAAAACATAACCACAAATGAGAGATAAATCATTGAAAAAATGATCGGGTAAATCAATACTGACAATAGAACATAATCATCAATAGATTTATAACCCGCACACAATCATTTGTTAGTGCCAGTTTTCACAATTCAATATCTTCGAGTATTTTTTTTTTGTTTTGTATTGATCATGATTTTTGCTATTTTGAGTTATTGATTGTACGGCCATCGTGCTTCGTTTATTTCAATAAGCTATGTTTCTTTTGCCCACCACCAGCCGTCATACAAGCAGACATTTTATCAAGCTGTTGGCAATGTACCATTAATTACAGCTGAATTGTGTGCAAAAGCTTCCGATTGGATGTCGAGCAATAATAAAAGCGGTCATAATTTTAAGCCGACGGCTCTTTATTGATAAATAATAATAATCATAATAAATGATGTTCTCGCACGAATCCACGGGCATCTTCTTATCGAACACCCATGACTATTCTATTGACATGTTGTCAGAAGAATTCCATGTGGGATTGACGCATTCTGTCTTCACTTGATGTATTTGGGGATGAGTTTTAATCGTGGAAAGATGTTGATGAACATTTATTCGGTATTTCGTTTGATTTATTTTGAGCAAGCGCTGAATGTGTCTTCCGCAAATCAAATTTTATGTTGAGCAATGTTGTTGCTCTACAATACAAATGCTTGATACTATTATTATTACATTCTCGAAATAAATCACATTAAAGCACGGAACTGTTGCTTGGAACAAATACAAATGAAGTGCCATTTGAAAATCAACAGAGAGAAATTACCTACATAAATATGTGGTGGTTTGTATATGGAAACACCACACGAGTCAAGAGCTCAATAATAGTAGTGATATAATGAGATTTTGCGTCGGCATCATACGTATTGAAACGACAAAGAAAAGTTTCCCCCGAGTAAGCACAAATGAAAAAAATAGAAGAATTAATTTCACTAAAGTAGAAATGAAAAAGAGAACGATACATGTCACTTTAAGACGTTTTCAATAAAAATCTCCCGAAGACCAAAGTTTTTCACTTCAACTAAAGTAACAAAAAGAGAAGACAGAAAGGAAATGGCAACAAAAAATAAGGAAAATGATAATTCTGTCGAAGTTTTGTTATCAAGAGCCACCGGCAAAAAACCGAACTTCATTCCGTTTCTTCTTTTTTTTTTTAAATTTAATGTGGTTGTGTATAATAGTCGAGGCCTGAACTGCACAAGAATTTATTTGTTGTGTAATCAGAAATGGAGATTTCCAGCAGTCTATTTTGTAGATGCTGCCACCATCTTAACGTCTCTGCCCTTACCACTTTTCCAATTGAAATGAAACAAACGGCAAAATGAACTCAAGACGAATGAAATACGGTTCTTATTTTCTTGAAGAACACACTTCGGTGATAAAATGTTTACATCGTTGCCTGTGTGCGTGTGTGTGTGTGTGTGTGTGAGAGAGAGAGAGAGAGAGAGAGTTTGTGTCTCATTGTGTAAATTGGCTGTTGAAGAAATATATCTTGTACCTAGGGGGTTCCGACTTATACGAATGTTCCATATGCGAGCGAATGTTTCATACAAATTTTGCGAATGGTGGCGGATGTTTCATACGAATTTGCGGACGGTGTCGAATGTTTCATACACATTTTGCGGATGGCGCATATGAAAAGTCATATTTTTACATTCAAAAAGTCAAAGTGACAGATTAGTTGACAGAGATTCAAGCCGAATTGATATTTTTTTGGTAATATTGAGTGAAATTTTTCTAAAATGGTAAATAAATCTTTGTCACTCGTAATATAATCACTGTAAGGCACCGTTGTGAAAGGTTTTTATTTTGATTGACGAAACTTTCAATTTCTTTTATATTATCTGAATTTATTTCTAAAATCTCACTTTTCGAATCGAATACGGCTTCTAAAATAATATTCAACAAAAAATCTTGTAATTTTTTTTTCGACTGTTTTTCAAATTTAGTTGAGAACAATCACATTGTGTTTGAAACTGCTACGACAAACTGAACACAGCAATGTGTATGTACAAATGTCACACGACAGTTTGTCGCATCTAGCAAGACGTATGCGGCATCCGCGAATGGTTGCGAATGAAATGTACGAATTTTCTAAGATGTTGATGCGGATGAATATACTTTACTTCGTATATTTCATGTATGAATAGAAAAATGTTCATATATTCCGTATAAAATGGCATTCGCATATAGTAAAATGCCCCTTGTCTTGTACCGTATAGCAAATAATATATTGTTACATGTACGATAAACGGCAAAAGGTCATCAGCAGCAACAACAACAATAGTGACAACATCAGAAGTTGTTCAATTTCGAACGAGGAAAAAACGAAGCGGTTGTCCCAACATTTGCCATCCATTCAAAACGTTTACACAAGCGGCAATCAATATTCTCCAGAGAATAGCACAATGTCGAATTTCAAGTCCAACCTGCATTTTATTCTATTTTTCCGTCAATCGTCTTCTTCTTCAATTCTCATCTCGTTCGCTTGTTCACCCATTAACCATTATTCATTTCGAACGTTTCATTATTTTATCGTTAAAATTGTTATGTACTTTCGGTTGAAAAAAAAAACGACGACACCAAGTATTTTGGGCCACGATTTACGAGGAAGGAAAATGACGAGTTTTCTCTTGTGTTCAGGAAAATTGTATTATTTTATAAAAGCGACCAAAGAGATGTACAAATTTTGTAAAAGAGAATGAGAAAGTAAGCCCAAATCGATGTGGTTCGTTGGCCAAATTGAATAACAAAAATGGTAGATTTTCAAACCGAACAACAGTAATAACAACAATAAAATGACCAGAAAATGATGAAATCCTCAAAAACCATCGGACCGTTTAACTTTAGAACGATCAAAGCGCAGTGAATAAAAGGAGTTAAAGAAAAATAAATAATTCAACGGAAGCGATTAGTTTTTTTTTTATCGGGTCGAGCGAATACGGAGATCAAAAATTCCCCGAATACGGGGCTCTCTGTTGCTGTAAAAAAACTGATGCGTGGTTGCCATGTCTATTCGTATTTTCTTAATCATATTTGTATTGAATCAAACTGCACACAGCATGACACAATTATGATCAAAATCGATGTAGAAACTTTTTTCCCCAGCGATAAAACTTATTCGGCACATTCAGTGAAAAAATGCGGCCAACGTGTACAGTATCATCCCTTTAATCCGGCATGTTTATCTCGGGGGCCCATGAGAAGATTTCGTCATGACTATGGCAGTGTATGATTTTAACATTCGCGTTCACATTTACATTCATAGCTGAATTTATGTCTACAAATCCATATACACACACAAACCAACGCACTTTCGTCGATATTATTAAACATATCGACCATTTTATCAACGATTCGATCGATAAAATTCACATAAAATACAGGCTGTACGACGATTGCGATGTCGCTATTTCATTCGAGCGGGCATATTTATTTGTGCTCTTTTCGGATATCATTTGACAGCATCGTTGACTATACGCACATAGTCAATAAAAAGCGTATTTATAAGCCAAAGCAATGACAATAAAATCGAAACAACAACTTTGAATATTCGTATATTGGCACAGCAAGTTGTAATTGTTGTTTTGTCATTTCACAGCCAGTCACAAATGTGTCGCATAGTTTTACGACTGAATGTAGTATACACAGAGCAAGTGAGCATCCAGAATTTTCATATCATTGTTGAACAGAACAGAAGCAAACAAAATTTGTGTATTCGTGATTTTCGATCATCTACCGCATCTGAAATGAGCGTTTTGCATTTTACATCGATATATTTTTGTATATCTTAAGTTGTCAGCATGAAATTGAATACAAAATACATTCAAACGCCGAACAGAGGTTGCACAGAATATATGTATGTATGTGTTTAGAGGAAATCGAATTTTCAATCAGATTTTTCTTCAAAGTATTCACAATGACATGACGTGACGCGTGCTGTCTGTTGTTAATGTCAACACTTCACTATCTGTTTCTCTGTCTCCCTTCATTCTCTGTGATTTGTTCACATTCAACGACCCAATGATAAGCGGCCACTGAGCTGTTTTTATTATCATCAGAAGTGATCGATAGCAAAAACACATCACATGCCAATTTAATATCTGGTTTATCGAATGTAAACGAAGATATTAACACTGCTAATACATATTTGATGAGCCAGGATTTCATTTCACTCAAATTTTATGGCAATTGAACAAGGGGAAAAAAGTGCCATGTTTTTTTCTGCACAAACATCGAACGCACATGTTGATACGTAAAACAATTTCGAAATTCAATTCTGAACTGATTTTTAAATCATTAGCTCACAAAATCAGAAATGAAAAATTTAAAAGTGAATGAAAAAGTTGGAAAAAGCAAAGCAACGGGGAAACGCATTTTCTTCATTTTCTTCAACATGAAAATGCTGGAGCTGTCGAATTACGATCGAAAATTTGATGGATATTTCCAACATTACTTTTCCGCCCAGCCAAAAGTGCTCTTTCGAAACTATATTGAATTTTCT